ATATGGTACAAAATGAAGCTCACAAGGTCGCATGTTATACCAGTATGAGCTTTAAACAGCTTTAAACTCAAGATTGTCGAGCCAATACACGATCCTGAAGGGGAGCCTGGGGGAAACAAGGCGAAACTATCACCTTGTGCACCAGCAGGAAACAGAGCAACGCGAGCAACGCTGCAAGTTTCCACATTCCCCACATCGGTGGGATTCAACATGATTCAACTAAGTGCGCGGCAACTCTTTCCCTTACTCTCTGAATCATATCCTCCTATCATCAGTATTGGATCAGTCAGTGTCAGAGGTATCTGGACCTGCGATGTTGCACAGAAAATACAGTCTGCCCACCTGCTCTTGAATAATGGCAGCCTGGCATTGAAGCACCATATCAGAATGCGCCCGCTTCACTGCACCTCTTTCCTCATTTCTACATCACTCGCACATGTGGCACCTTGTCCCTTTCCAACTGCTGAAGCATTTGCTGCAATTCCTGCAGTCGCAAGTTGCTGGCAATCCGCAAGTTGCAGTCCAGAGTCTGATGGCCATGGCTGTGAAGTCTCTGGCTGCGGCACCTGGTTTTCTTTCTCAGCTGCCTGGAGAGCCTCCAAACAATGTGAGAAACTGCTGTTTAAAGTCGTGGCAGAGTGAATGAAAAGCTGGGCGAACCTCATCAACCTCTGGCCGACCTTTCAAAAAAAAGTCTGCTGTGCTGTGAGTCTTGAATGATCCGAAATGAAGTTTCTCTTTGACATGTTGTGCTTTGACACACTGGGACACTAGGCACACTAGGCACACTTTCCCAGCGCTTTGAGAATCCAGCTGAAAACACTTGGTGCTGCGACTGCAGGACCTGCAATGCTCCAAATGCAGGACCAGAATGACAACTCAGTATGATAGACTATATATATTAGACTATGAGTGACTACACTGACTATATGTCCCCAAGTTTGAACATGCCACACACAAGCTTTTCAGTCAAGGCACGATTCAGGTCCTCAATGAGATTCAGAAGCCGAGGCCTCAGCTGCATCAAGTCATCACATGACATGTCATCACTGTCGCGCATCGACTCACCGGGTGCATGGCCGAGTTTGTAACCACAAGGAGCGATCCTGGATAGGTCTGTTCGAATTCTGAGAAACTTGATACATGTTCTGCACTCTGTGAAATGAACTGGTGCTTCAACACATCGGTCTCTACGCCGCAGCCGCAGCAGCAGCAGCAGCAGCACCAGCACCAGCACCAGCAGCAGCAGAACACTCATCGGCACCTCATTGAGCAACTTGTTCTCTGCACGAGCTACAGCCAGCTCCTCTTTGACCAGACCTTGCTCCAAGATCTTTCTTTCAACGACTCACATTGTCTTCTGGGAGCAGCTTGGCAAAATCTCGTCTTCGCAGTCTGATGCAAGATATCTGGGTGCCACAAACAATTTTCCATAGTTTCCCAACAAATCTGCAACAAATCTGAGGCAAGCCTGACCTGGGGCCTACACGTTCATGAGCCCGTCGTTCGGATTCCAGCCGTGCCAAGTCCTGTTGGAATGCCAATTGCACTGCCAGCTGCACTGCCAGCTCAAGGAGACGCCGCTCTAACCAAGACAATCATAGTGCAATTGCAAGGAGGCATGGTTTGACTGCAGTTTCTATACTACAGATCCAAAAATGAAATGAAACGAAAACGAATGCGCAAATCTATGATTTGGATGTCGAAATTGCCATTTGCAATGGGTTTGCACTGTTTTTTTCTTTATTCCCGTGATTCATTTTTCGGACGCGCACATTTCCATTTGCAGTTGCTTACTCCAGCAAAATCATTTTGGAAAGTGACTGGATGTTGATGTCGCATCCACAACTGTGGAAAAACAAGTCCTGGAACCCTTTGGTTTACATTCAAATCATTTCTCCACCAAATCCAAACCATTGTTTCACCAGAAAACGGTTGCGAAAATAAATGCGACTGTGAAAATCAAGCCGTAATAAACCAGCAACATTTGAACGGATATTGTTTTTGTTTTGTGGTTGTCATTTTTATTCTGTCGTTAGAATCGAATGTTTTTTTTGTCGGGAGTATAGCCTTATACCGAGTTGTGCCAAGTTCTGCCATGAAATCACAGCCCTCCTCTTCGGCCCTGAGGAGTCTTTGCGTCTCCGACTCGATATTTGCCTTGGAGGCCATGGCCACGTTTCATGGTGAACTGATGTGAATTGAACTCCTTTTGTGCCTTCGTTTGAAAGACATATCGTGTCACAATAAAAAGCTCGAATTGAACATTTGGTTGACAGTCCGTGGCGACCTGGGTGTCCAAAATGAAGTTCTCCAACTTCTGCCGATGCTCCTCTCACAGTGGCAAGATCCAACGCCGTTTTTCATGGTGAAGCAGAGAAAATCTGGTTTTCAGTCACTTCAGTAATTCCGAACCTTCTTTGTGAAGTTCTTATTATCTATTTTTCCGCCAACCCCACGTGCAGCAAGGGGAGTGCATTAGAGAAACCACAAATGGACTTGGGTTTGCGGCGCTCGGCTTTGGAGTTGTTCTTACGAACCTAGATCAGGAAGTGGTTTTGGGGCCTTGCTAGCTTTCTACCAGGGGCTCGCCGTCAGGAACAGGTGCATGGGAGTTGTCATGCAGCGCCTGTCAAAGGGGGCGGTAATGCACAGTCAGGAGGTGGGCCGTGGGCCTCCGTCCGTCCTTCACGTGGGTGGGGCAAAGGCCCTGCAGAGCCACGGTTTCCTCAGCCTTCAAGGTTGTTGTTTAGCAGCTTTCAAAGACAACGCTAGGCAGTCAGGAGGTGGGCCGTGGGCAGCCTCTCCGTCTTTCAGGTGGGTTGGGACTAGGGCCCTGCGAGGCTAACGTTTTTCGGTCTTCAAGGTTGTCATTTACCTGCTTTCAAAGGCAACGTTAGGCACTCCTGCAGTTTACCAGAGTGATGGTTGCATCCTTGGTCTCTGCACCTGCTACCCGTGCAGTTTACCAGAGCGTTTGTAATATCTTCTGCGCCTGCCCCCTGGCAGTTGGCCAGGTTGATTTTCAAAATGTTGGTGTCTGCGCGTGCTGCCGGTGCAGTTTAGCAGATTGATTGTCGGATCCCTGGTCTCTGCGCCTGCCACCCGTGCAGTTTACCGGAGTTTTCGCCCACAATGTCGTGATGGCTGCAGGTTTCGTCGCTCATGTTGTGTTGAGTGGCTCTCACGCTGGCTTGTCCTGGGGTCCTTTGCCTTGCCATGTTGTTTGCCATGCATTTGTTTTGGTGCGCGCTGCGCTTGATCGAACGGGTTATGCATCGAATTCAGCGTTGTCAGTTGTTTTCGTTTGCCAACGTCTTGTGCGGACCTAGTTTTTGCAATGATTGGTATTGGACATTAATCTCATACATGTGCTTCAGGAAAAAACTGTCTTTCTCAAATGTTGTAACGCATCCAAAGCACATTGATCACCCGTATTGTCTGCATGTGCAGTATCACAATCAGTATCTGAATGTCAGTGTGTGAAATACAGAGAAACGGGACACTAAGCAAAACCACCATTTAGTCATGAACAAGTTTTCGTGCATTGCATACAATCGTACTTTGATTCGACGCCAATCGTATTGCCCGCACATCTTTTACTGAGTCGCTGTCACCCATGTCTCTGCTGTTTTTAACCCACGATCTCGTAATGATTCGAGATGGCTCTCCAACTTTCGTCGGCCGTCTGTTTGTCAATCGTCTGCCGGCGTGTGTTGAGATTGTTGTCTTCACCTTGCCGTTTCGCTCCTTCAAATTTTTCCGGTTTGCAAAATGCTTGGTCGAACCATTTATGCATCAACTTCTTTTTTGCCACGCCCTGCCCACCCCCTCCTGCAAAGTAAACCCACAAGTATATGAGTGCATCATGTACTGCGTTTAAATGCTTCTGCACAAAAAAATGACATGCTCATGCCATTAAAACATCCGAACCCGTTGGAACTTCACAAAGCATCTGCACCCGAACTTTCCGGAACCTTACTGAATACCTGCACCGGAACCCTCCAGAACCTCACCGGCTATCTGCACTGGAACCCTCCGGAACCCCACCAGGCATTTGCATCGGAACCTTCCAAAACTTCACAAAGCAGCTGCACCGAAACCTCCGGAACCGCACCAGGCACCTGCACCTGAACTTTCTAGGCCTTTACCGACTACCTGCACCGGACCCTCGAGAGCCTCACCAGGTATCTGCACTGGAACCCTCCGGAACCTCTCCGGCTATCTGCACCGGAACTTTTCGGAACTTCAACAGCTAGGTATCTGCACCGGAACCTTCCAAAACCTCACCTGGTATCTCCACCTGAACCGGAATCTGCAAGAACCTCACCGGGTATCTGCACCGGAACCTTCCAGAACCTCACCAAGTATCTGCACCGGAACCCTCCGGAACCTCACCAGGTATCTGCACCGGAACCTCACCAGGTATCTGCACCGGAACCCTCCAGAACCTCACCAGGTATCTGCACCGGAACCCTCCGGAACCTCAACAGGTATATGCACGGAAACCCTCCGGAACCCTCCGGCAACCTTGCCCAGAACCTGGTTTTGAAGCTGCACCGGATCGCAGAGCTGATCTGGGCTAAAGACCCCATAGCAAAGTTTTGCTGTTGGTTAAAAACATCGTAAATACTGTGGTTTTGGGCTTCCGAGGCGCAAAAAACATCGGTATTTATGATGTTTTTTTTTGCGCCGAGGGTTTCAAATTTACGCGAAAACACCGCCTATTTGACGCTCTTTAGGGGTCCACAAAAATGCGAAAATAAGTTGTTTTGCAAGAAGAAGAAGAACAACAACAACAAGAAGAACAAGAAGAACAAGAAGAACAAGAAGAAGAACAAGCACAAAACTGCGACAAAAAGATGTGTTGTGGTAAGATGGTTACCAGCTGCAGTATGAAAAGAACATCACACTGTGCTCTGCACCTTCGCACATGCGCAGAGCACATGAACAGCACCAACGCGCACACTACTATATAATATAGAATATATACATAAGCCTTATGGCATCGCCGGTGTGCGAAGCTCTACAATTTGAATATGTATATCATAAAGTGTGTGCGTGTGTTTTCTCTTGTTTCCTTCAGTTGCGTCCCGCGCCTTCAAGGATATCATCTCCGCCCTCCTAGCCTCGCCCAAATTTCGGGACTCTGCCCAGGTACGGCCTTGCAGAAGCAAAAATGTCAACCACATCCACGCATGTCCACCATCTCCGTCAGCATGTGGTCCGTACAGTTTTAGTCACCGACCCACGAGTCTTGCAAGATTTGCAAGATCCAAGAGGGACTCCTGGGCTGAAGATTTCCAAGAAAAGGTTGAGCGTGTTTTCCTAAAGGGAATCTCCCAGTCCTCTGCCACTGATTTTGGGAGCAAGGACTGAAGCAACGACTTCAAGCGTGCTTCCATCTGACACAAATCACAATGTCAGCTGAGTTGCAGCTGAACACGTGGGCCCAAATTGCAACAGTGAAACACCCCTTTTGGATCCCTTTGGATCCTTTTGGTACAATAGTTCATCTTGAAATGCTTCAATTCCAAAGGTGATACCAGGGTGATGCGGCCAAAGTTGTGATCTGGGCCTCTTTGTTCCTTTTGTGCTCCTCTTCGCGAAGCCGCACTTTGCTCTTGAGAGACTGCAGCTGCACAAGGCTCAGGAGACCAACTCAACTCCATTGGGGGCTGATGCCTGCTGCCTCTGCTTCCACTTGCCGACAGCTGTTGCGGTAGAAGGCTGCCTGGCTCTGCGAACGTGGCAGCGACTGTGCGAGTTTTCGACTTGTCGAAATGTCTTGGGTGTGTACCAAGATGTTGCATAGTGCAGTGTGGCAAGGATGGCCAGAACGTGAGAAAAGAATAGAAACGAACAGAAAAAATGGGAAAGATAGAAAAGGACCATTGATTGATGTCTTCGTCTGATTTCCACCATGCACTGGTGGCCTCTTCCGAGACCTCTTGACGCTCCTCTGCACCACTAGCTCAGCTCAGCAGCAAACCATTGGAAAAGTCAAACAGACAAAGGGTTCTTCAGTCGTTCACCTACAAGTCGTCAAGAATGCATCCAGGGCTCCCTGATAGAAGCACACCCATGTTCATATACCCTGGCTCCACGTGTCCATGTCATTCCATGTCCATCGGTCCTGCTCCAATCGGGCAATCTTCGCTCGCAGCCTCAAATAACAATAGCTCTGGAGCCCGCCACCTATCCCCGGTCTGTTTGGCTCCTGGCCTCGCGGACCTTCTCCGTGTATCCCCCTGAGGTCCGTGTGACAGCAGGCACAGCACCAGCACCAGCACAGCAGCGGAAGCTGAGCCAAACACCAGGCCACTTCGGTGCTGGTTCTTTTCCAAGAAGGCCTCATGTCAAATGAGTCAAATGGCCACTTTGAATTGATCAGAATTGTCATTGCGATGGCATCTCACGACTCCCACGACAATGGTTAAACGATTCCTTCAAATCAGTTCTGAGACTCCGGGCAACTCTCTCCCGCAGCTTGCGCTCTTCTTCCTTGCACAGCCAGTCAGCTGGTCTCTCTGTAGCATTCTGATGTGTATTCTACTGCAAGTATCTGTAAGTACTCACTACTTAAACTGGTCCTTCACTGGATGATGCGTCTTTCTTGCTAAAAAAAACAATTGCAAACAAATTCTTGCCAGCAGGGGTTCGTGGCCTGAGCAGCTTTCACTGCCGGGTCAGGTGCCTCCAGTCGAGCTACAATGAGAGGATGGTCCCCCAAAGATGATTGGCATATTTTGACATGATCTGATGAATCTGGTGAGCCTTTGCGGATTGCACAACCTGCCCTGGAACTCAACTTTCATGTTTGTCACGTCTGACACTCTGACTGCTTTGCCTGGCAAGTCCCTGCGTGAGACCTCAGATGAGAGAAATGACCGAATCCAAAGCAGAAGCTCCTTCCACGTTTGTCAAAGACGTCATGAGACGTCCCGCAAAATGGTCTCTTTTGGGCCTGTGCTGGGATCCGGTTGCTGCATGCAGCCTTGCCTGAAATTCCAGCAACTTAAATTCCGGCAGGAATCTAATATCGCTCGACACATTTCCATTGAAAACTCCATGGATGTGCCTGCAATTCGTTCACCAACTGTTCAGAATCTTCTACTCTCCTCCACAAGCGTCTTGCTTGACCTCACAGAAGCCATGCATCTCCCCTCTGCCGCTTGCAGTTACAGGATGCTGCAACTAATCTTTCAACTATAATGCATGCCATACAATGCCTATATGATATATGGTTCGTATATACCATCTGAATGGCAGAACTTTTCTGGCACCTGGGCCTTTGAGGATGTCACTGGTGACTGTGGACAAGCTCTGTTCCAACTCCTGGGTCGAAGCCTTGGCTTTTTAGCTTTCCGCGGTGACAATTTCAAGACCAAACTGAGGTGACGATTCAGATGACCGGCCTGGTGCAAAGCATGTCTATCGATCCTCCCATTCGACAAGACCTCAGCACAGGTTTGACTCAGATTGCACATTCGACACAAAGTGTGCAGTGATTGCGGCAGGTTCAGAGTGCATCGGAGTCATTGGAGTCAGCTTGAGAATCGAGGGTCCAAGGGACCTTCACAGGAAGCTCCAGCTCTGACACCAACTTCTTGGTTGCTGATTGCTTCTGTCCTTCACAGACTCATCATGACATTTCTAGTCAACAATTGCAACGGGGAACAAGTTATGTGTCCAAATGAAACTTCAAACTGTGGACAACAAAGGAATACAACGAATCACTTTTGCAACTGCTACGAATTGGCTAGGTCCTTTCAGCCTGGCCATCGTGACCACTGGATCCTCCCGTTGCCATACCTCGAACAGCCCAGGAGCTTTCACACACTTCGCAGAATCTCACCAGAGCCAAATTTGGGTCCCAAAAACGGGAACCTCAACGCCACTTTTCTGACATTGTGAGAGAACTGCTGAGACGAGCACTCCACAGCCACTGTCACCTGTACACACTCAGAATGACAAGGGGGGCTGAAAACGATAAACTTCTTCTGCTATTCCCACCGGCTTGATATTGGCAAGTGGTCCAAAAAGATAAAAACCTGACCAGTTTTTTTGGAGAATCATTTCTGTGGCACGAAGAGAATGGAATCTTTCAATGATCTGGCCTAAGTCAGAAGCCAGTCCAGAGCTGCCTGAGCACCAAAGTAATTAGAAATTTTATGATCAATGCAGCTTGGCCTCGAATTTGATGGATCCACGATTCCAAATAATTATGTGGTTCACAAATTGCATTCACTGAGCCAAAAGGTTGTAGATTCCAACACATCTCTCAGCCTACAGGGGAGGTCAGCCGCTGAACTGCCTCTCCTGAAAAGAACTTTTCCCAATTGACCGTCGGATTTTGCGTATAAACGTAGATGCCGCTCAGTGTTCCTGTGTCCTGCATAAACCTCCTTCTACCACCTCCACATTGACACATCCGTAGTAGCATTTGCGAAGCGGAACTGTCCTTGAAGCTCGTTTCCATCCTTTCGGAAGCATGAAATCAGGTGAAAACACAACCAAAATGGCACAAAAATGGCATCTTCTATATCTTCTAAGAGACTCTGCCTCGCCAGGCGCTGTGGTTGCAGTGGACAACTCGCTTGGTGACCCACGGACCTGCTCAGGAATTGATCTGTGTTGGTCCGTTGGTCCTTTTGATGGAGCCTCCGGCGATGACATGGGTCGGTCGTGCCTTGTGGCTGAATGGAGCCTCTGCCACTTCCTCATATCGCAGCATGCGATCTTTGGGAGCAATCAACAAAGCACTTATGGCAGGGTGGTTGACAACAACGACGTCTTCATTCTGAGTTCTGTGCTGCAAGTGGTTCTGGTCTTGACAAAGTTGATCCTTGGAGACAAAAGGATGATTCTCAGTATTCATCAAATGCCCATTTTGTGCGCTCAAGTCACAGGTTCCTGTTAGCCGAGGTAAGGTTCGCTAGTCAGGGCTTGTGTGTATGTTTTTGTCTCTGTGTGTGTGTGAGCGTCTGCGGTGGAAAAAGGGCATGGCATGTAGAATCACGGATTCATGAAGAGATGTAAGTCAAATTGATCGTACCCTCCTCAAATGACTTTGTCCTTGTCTTTGGCTCTGAAGTCACTTTGAGACATACCCTGACGTACCCTGACATACCTCTGGTTTGGCGAAATTAAGGTCCTTTGATCAACATTCTGAGTGTTGGACTGTGAACATCCTTTGGTCTTTCCAAGGTGGTAGACCTGCGACAGGACGGCGCCCCACATCATCCAAGCAACTAGTGGAGCAGGTGCCCTGAATGCGGCACAAATGTTGTAGGATCATTCAATACTTTCAATACATTCCAGCAAAATACTTGCTCCAATCGTTTTCACTAGGTGAAACATAATCCTCTCCTCTGTTGGGAAAGCATCCTTTGGATCGACGGTTTCTTCGACCATGCTGCGGATAGAGTGCTATGTACAGGAGCCAGGATTGGCGAGGAAGTGTCAACAGCTTCGCCAGATCGTTCTGAAAAAGTGGCATTACTCAGACTTTTCTGGAAAGTAGTACCGCTTCGCCAGGTGCAAGTTCGAATTGCTTTTGGCCAGCATCATCAAATCGAGAACGTAGGTCTTGTTCCGTTCCAAATGCAACAGCTCGCCCGGCTCACCAGGCTCAGTTGCTCTGTCCTTCTCCAACACATAGAACACGAAATGGGGAGGCCATTTATCCAAAAAGGTGGACAGCGAAATAGCTGGCAGCAGAGGTATCAGATCGGTAAGTGCTCCCTTGGGCAAACTTGGCTTGAGAATGACAAACCAGTTTTCCAATTGTTGCTGATTGAAGTTGCTGTCTTTTTTGGGCACTCACCTGCAACTCAACATTTCAAATGTATATCTAAAAGAAAACTGCATCCGAACGTGCAAACAAGTTGCTCCCATGAGATCTAAGAACCGAGAAGCACTCCAGAAGCAAAGGGTATACACATTGCCAGGCTGGATGCCTTCTTCAATCTCCTGACAATCTGACAGTGAAACAGAACCAAAGTATACCACAATCACTGATGTTTGAAAAGCCCCAGAAAGGGGCCAAAGACCTCGCTGAAGACTTCCTTGCACTGTGTCAACCACAAGTCCCAGAGGTAAGTTGCGGTTGCAAAATTGTGTGCTGCTCGGCTCTCCTCTATCATGGACGACCAGACAGCGGAACTTTGAGCACCTTTCCTGCCATGTGACATCAGCGGCGATGATCGACTTTTCTCATTTCATGATTATTCATACACAAAATATACAATATAGGCGAATGACATATTATGAACTCCGTTAGAAGTGGGCAAAGTCAGTCTCAGAACTCTGGTCTTCTCGTTTGCTTCCATGTTTCGCCATGGAACTATGGAAATGTCAACGTCCGGCCTTGTGATGCCCATGCCGTCAAGGTCGCCGTCAATGGGCGGTACACATTTTGCACCAGGCGGCGTAACTATGATCTGGTCGAAGGCCTGGAAGAGACCAAGAACTCTGCAGTAGCTTGTACACACAAACACTCGGAATATCTCGGAACTTTCACAGAAAAGCCTGGTAGAATTGGCAGAAAGTACAAAGATGTACAAAACATGCAGAAAATCATGAAACTCTAAAAATCAAATAAGCTTCGGTGGTATCCCCAACAGCTGCAACATTCTATTTTTACAAATTTCCGTGAGTTAAATGACCGCAAATCTGACCTGGCTCTGCGCCAAAGCAACCTTCTCCGGAAACTTCTCCAAAACCTTCTCTGGAACCTTCTCCGGACCCCTGTTGCACCTAACCTGGCTCTGCACCAAAGCCTCTCACACCTTCTCAGGAACCTTCTCCGGAACCTTCTCCGGAACCTTCTCCGGAACCTTCTCCGGAACCTTCTCCGGAACCCTGTTGAACCTGACCTGGCTTTGCACCAAAGCCTCTCGGAACCTTCTCGGGAACCTTCTCCGGAACCTTCTCCGGACTTCTGTTGAAGCTAACCTGGCTCTGCACCAAAGCCTCCCACACGTTCTCCGGAACCTTCTCCAGTCCGGAACCTTCTCCGGAACCCTGTTGAACCTGACCTGGCTCTGCACCAAAGCCTCCCAGACCTTCTCCGGAACCTTCTCCGGAACCCTGTTGAACTTGACCTGGCTCTGCACCAAAGCCTCCCGGAACCTTCTCCGGAAACTTCTCCAGAACCTTCTCCGGAGCCTTCTCCGGACCCCTGTTGCACCTAACCTGGCACCTTCTCCGGAACCTTCTCCGGAACCTTCTCCGAACCCTGTTGAACCTGACCTGAATTTGCACCAAAGCCTCTCGGAACCTTCTCCGGACTTCTGTTGAACCTAACCTGGCTCTGCACCAAAGCCTCCCACACATTCTCCGGAACCTTCTCCAGAACCTTCTCCGGAACCCTGTTGAACCTAACCTGGCTCTGCACCGAAGCCTCCCGCACCTTCTCCGGAACCTCCTCCGGAACCCTGTTGAACCTGACCTGGCTTTGCACCAAAGCTTCCCAGGCCTTCTCCGGAACCTTCGGAACCTTCTCCGGAACCTCGTTGAACCTGACCCGGCGCCTGCACCAGTGCACACCGGAGCTATTATTCTGGGCTGAAGACCCCATTAGCTTACGCTGTTGGGGAAAAAAGACCTTGGAATTTGGAATGCCCCGCCTGTAAGCCTGCAACCACCTGTGCAAACATCGCTTCATCTTTCATGGCGGCCTAGCACAGCGACTTGTGAATCAGTGCAGTTGTGCTTTCCTATGTGCCATGGTCAAAACATGGATATGGGCCATATGGGTTATGGTCATCTGTCCCATAGTGGGAATCCTTATCATGGGATATTATCATGGGTGTATGTGATCCGTATGGATTGATTACCATCCCCCAATATGGCAATTTACCCTAGCTTTGCCCATGGCACTTGACTCTAATAAGCCGTGACAACACAAACGAGTTAAGCAACCAAGATTGATGAGTGGCTGCTTCTGATCTGTGGCCTGCTCCCTATCTCCGAAGTTGAGGGTGACTTTGCTTCCAACAACATACTCCTGCGGCGCCGTGGCTCTGTATCCGGTTGTCTCTGTCCAGCCAAACTGCGAGCAGAACAAATTCTTTTGAGAACAAAACTTTGTGGAGTTGTTGCAAAATGTGTCAAGTGTCATTATTTATCTGATATCAAGCATGAGCAAGCCACGTTCTTGGGTCTTCTGCCTGTGTTCTTCGCTTCTCTGTGTTTATGCCAAACCGCTACATCATTACTCTGGCAAATGGTTCCATTCTGAATGTGGCGGACAACCCCGGTCCAGTGGTGTGATGCTGAGAGTGCTTAGCCAGGATGTGAAAAAGCTCAGAGGCACGCTGTAGTCAAAATCCCTCAAGACCACCTGAGACATCACTGAAGCTGCCCGGGCCAATTGGCACAAACTTCTTTTCTCGGTTGGCTACAGCACAGCACAGAAACATACACAAACTAATTCCTGTCTTTGTCAATCCATTCAATCATTCAGAATCCAAAGCCTCAAGAGCTATATTCCATCAATTCCAAAGGTGCAAAGTGCGAATTTGAAACCAACTGTTGAAACTGCGTCATAGTGTCATGCTGAGTATGGTACGCCCATGTAGAGCTTGCCGTTTGGACGCTTGTGAAATCTACCTTGAGCTTAGGCTGGACCAAGGCAATTTTGGCTTGCTTCAGTCTTTTACAGTGCTGCTACTACTACCATCACCACCACTACTACTCATCCTCCTACTGCTCCTCCTACTGCTACCACTACCGCTACTGCTACTGCTGCTGTTACTGCTACTGCTACTGCTACTGCTACTGCTACTGCTACTGCTACTGCTACTGCTACTGCTGCTGCTGCTGCTACTGCTACTGCTACTGCTACTGCTACTGCTACTACTACTACTACTACTACTACTAACAACAACAACTACTACTACTACAGTGTACAGTACAGAGAAACAATTTGGTTTTCACTCAAAACCGTTGCGAAGTTATGGTGCTCTGGTGGAGTGACTGTCATGATGGTACCACTCCGCCATTCTTCAAAATCTATGTCCACAATTTCCTCATTCAAATATGTTCAAATGATTTCAAACGTACAGTACCATATCTGATCAAGACACCTTGCAGTCGCAGTTCCCACCGACGGGTCTTCTTCGCAAAGTACTCAGAATACCGAGCTGGCGTCTGCTGTGTCTGTGTCTCCATCGGGCGATGCATCATCAGCACGTGCCCGGTGAAGTATTCGTTTACCTTAGATTCGCCAACAAACCTACTCCGCCTCCCTATTCAGATCTATTCAGGACGAATGCACAGATTTCCCAAGCCCTCTCTTGAAGCCAACCAAAGAAGCCAAAGGTTGCAAGCAGTTGTGAAATCTGCATAGGAATTAGGATGTAAAACATGGCTCACATGACATCACAGTGCACTATGCAAATCCATGCAGCTCTGGCACAATTGCTTCTTTACCTCCGTTGTTCAATGCCAGAGGTGTGACAGGACGAAGCATTGCAGCATCGCAGCGTCTTTGAATCTTTGGCTTTGGAAGATTCGTAGTCTCGAAGAGGAGAAAAGATGCGTCACTTCCCTCCAACTCCCTGTGGGCTTCCATGTGAAATGTCTGCGATCAAATTGTGCTTGGCAGATCAAAACAATCAAATTGAGAACTGAACACAGAGCTTTCTTATCTGACATTTGTTCATTTTGTTCTAGCAACTCGCCTCAAATTGCGGTGGCTGCGTCGGAGCAAATGTTTCCTTTGCTCTCCCACGTCCAAATCTGGTTCTTCAGACACTGGCGCTGCGGAAGAGAACATCCATCCGGCACATCCTGGCATAATGTCAGGTCACTGGCACCTTTCAATTGTTTTCATGTTTCAAAACATTTCAAAACATTTCAAACCTGTCGTTTCTTAGCGTTTCTTGCTCCTGCCTGCAAAGCACGGCAAGCTCGAAAGCCAGCTCTGCGGGGGAGGCACATCCGACACATCCTATGGCCATTCCAAAGACAGGCAGCGAGGATCCCTGATTCCTACGATTCCTACGGTCCTACAATGTCCTACACAAGCTGACCTTCTCACAGCATCTCACAGCTCTGCACAGCTCTGCACAGCTCTGCACAGCCTGAATCTCATCTGCAAGCTCGTCATCCACGGACGCCAAGGACTCTGTGTCTTGCTCCTCTTCTCTCGCTTCACCTTCATTCACTTGGCCTTTGCTTCCACATCATCTTCCACTTCCATAACAAAAAAACAATAAGAATCTGGGTCTTCAGGCTGAAACACAGCGTTTCAATGATGGCAAAAGGATTCTTACAACAAACCCCAACCTGCTCAAACAAGTGTTTTGAGTATCTGAAAACCCTTGAGCCTAAGGAAAATAACATTGTGAAACCTAGTAAGCTCCTCCCCGATCAGCTTCTACTACCGCATTTGTGCACTGCACTTGAATTGACACCAAGTCACTGTCATGATTGCAGTCTGCTCCTGGCTCCTTGCGACAACCAGCCAATACAAACAAAAGCATACAAAAGCCTCATTGCAGTTTGCCTGTTCATTTTCCTTCTGCATTCATGAGGCCTTTAACACGAAGACAGTTGGATCATTTACATCTGACTTTCCAAAGCCGCAGTCCATCATATATTGCGCAGCATTGAAGCTCAAGCCAGCAATGCCAGCAGTTGCCAGTAGGATGTGACCGCCAGCCACACAGGCAACAACAAGGCCAGTGGCCTTATGGCAACGGCTGGTTTCGTGTCTCGTTCATTTCAAACACTGCGAAAAGGTCTGCCACGGTTTGCTGATGGAAAATATCACAAAATTCAATCAATATGAACTATTCTGGCAGAGAAGAGTGCCGTTCGCATCATGCTTGAAGCCTTGAATTGTAGGCTTTAGGCTTTAGGGTTCTAAGTTTGGACAGGCAACAACTGTGTAATGCGTGGCTTGCCCCAGTGCAGACTCTGGCTGCATTGCTTCAGGGCCAGTAATGACAGTATTCACCACTCCCAGGAAACCTCCGGGGTCACAATCTCACAATGCTCTAAACTGCGGCGATGTGAATCAATTCAACAAACTTAAAGCTGCTCGAGTTGAAGGTTTGCCGAAAAATGGTACAGACCTTAGACAAACACCAGAAACGATCCAACAGCGCCTCCAGCTGGGCCAGCTAATGCCAAGCCCAAAACGCCTGCAGAGGCTGAAGTCCTCCAATTCGCAGGGATCCACGTCCCAAGCTCTGCTTCAGCGGGCACAGGTCCACGAGCGATCAAAACCTCTGCGGCCTCTGCAGCCATGGCAACAGCGCTGAATCTCAGCTGATTGTCCCCTCAGCACCTGCATTTTTCTGCTTCCTTCTCTAGAGACTTCCCAAAATTTTGGTTCTGAAAAAATGTTGCCGAGTTTGATCTTGGCTCTAATAGAATCAAAATAGAATGTAATGTTTTAGTTCTAAAAGCCCTTTTAGCATCCATACAGCTTTAAAGGAACGCTGCGGGAGCATCAGACAAATCAGACATGCCAAGAATGGAGACTCTCCAGTTACAAGGTCGCCATAAAGATGAGCGAACGGCACCGGTACCAAATGGCAGCACAGGAACAGGTACTATACCCCACAGTTTGGTATTCCGCCTGGAAACCCTGGCACCAATGCTCTGCACAACGCCTGCAGAACCTGGAGTGTACCCAGTGTTGTTCCATTTTCATCGAAAACGCTCAGATACGAGGTGGTGTCTTCGTATCGGCGAAATTGAAAGAAAGATTGGCAAGAATGCCAGATGAACTTGGTTTATCATTTTTTATATTGTTTGTCAACTGGTTGCAAGCAGCATTTATTAGTCTGCATCTTGAACTTTGGCTCGCAAACCTGGAGAAGTTTCTCTTGCATCACTGTCACTGTCAACCTTGGGTACAGCAAAGCACGCCAGATCAATATGATCAAAGGAAGTTTAGGGGGAGAAACTTCCGTGTTACGGACTTTTAGAATGTCAGGGAAAGAGTTAGTCAAAGAAACAGTTAGTGAGGGAAAGAGTTAGTCAAAGAAAGAGTTAGTCAAAGAAACAGTTAGTCAGGGAAAGAGTTAGTCAAAAAGAGTTAGTGAGGGAAAGAGTTAGTCAAAGAAAGAGTTAGTCAAAGAAAGAGTTAGTCAGGGAAAGAGTTAGTCAAAGAAAGAGATAGTGAGGGAAAGAGTTAGTCAAAGAAAGAGTTAGTCAATGAAACAGTTAGTGAGGGAAAGAGTTAGTCAAAGAAAGAGTTAGTCAAAGAAACAGTTGGTCAGGGAAAGAGTTAGTCAAAGAAAGAGTTAGTGACGGAAAGAGTTAGTCAAAGAAAGAGTTAGTCAAAGAAAGAGTTAGTCAGGGAAAGAGTTAGTCAAAGAAAGAGTTAGTCAGGGAAAGAGTTAGTCAAAGAAAGAGTTAGTCAGGGAAAGAGTTAGTCAAAGAAAGAGTTAGTGAGGGAAAGAGTTAGTCAAAGAAAGAGTTAGTCAGGATATGTGAGGTAGAAACAGTTAGTCAGGGAAAGAGTTAGTCAAAGAAAGAGTTAGTCAGGGAAAGAGTTAGTCAAAGAAAGAGATAGTGAGGGAAAGAGTTAGTCAAAGAAAGAATTAGCAAAGAAACAGTTAGTCAGGGAAAGAGTTAGTCAAAGAAAGAGTTAGTCAGGGAAAGAGTTAGTCAAAGAAAGAGATAGTGAGGGAAAGAGTTAGTCAAAGAAAGAGTTAGCAAAGAAAGAGTTCGTCAGGGAAAGAGTTAGTCAAAGAAACAGTTAGTGAGGGAAAGAGTCAGTCAAAGAAAGAGTTAGTGAGGGAAAGAGTTAGTCAAAGAAAGAGTTAGTGAGGGAAAGAGTTAGTCAAAGAAAGAGTTAGCAAAGAAAGAGTTAGTGAGGGAAAGAGTTCGTCAAAGAAAGAGTTAGTGAGGGAAAGAGTTAGTCAAAGAAACAGTTAGTCAGGGAAAGAGTTAGTCAAAGAAAGAGTTAGTGAGGGAAAGAGTTAGCAAAGAAACAGTTAGTCAGGGGAAGAGTTAGTCAAAGAAAGAGTTAGTCAAACAAAGAGTTAGTCAAAGAAACAGTTAGTCAGGGAAAGAGTTAGTCAAAGAAAGAGTTAGTGAGGGAAAGAGTTAGTCAAAGAAAGAGTTAGTGAGGGCAAGAGTTAGTCAAAGAAAGAGTTAGTCAGGATATATGAGGTAGTCAAAGAAAGAGTTAGCAAAGAAAGAGTTAGTCAAAGAAAGAGTTAGTGAGGGAAAGAGTTAGTCAAAGAAAGAGTTAGTCAGGATATATGAGGTAGTCAAAGAAAGAGTTTATGAGGGAAAGATTAGTCACAGAAAGAGTTAGCAAAGAAATTGTTTCCTGAATTTACATGGCATGCAAGTGGTGCTGGTGGAGGAGTTGCCGATGGAGTTTTGAAGGAAGTCTCGCACGAAATGCGTTTTTGAGAGATAGCAGATGCACGAAAGCCTATGTTTTTCCATACAAAGTGTGTCCACGAACTTCGATGATCTACCTCTGCTGTGCGACGGGTGCGAGACGGTCTCGTGTGTGGTCGGATCATGTTCGGATCATGTTCGGATCGGTCTCGGATCATGCTCGGATCGGTTCCGCATTGTAAATGGGGTTTCAACCGTTTTTCGTGCATGTGTGGTCGACAGAATTCCATTGTGATTTGCAACTGTAGGATCGTTCCCGCAATGTAAATGGGATTGCAAGTGGTGCTGGTGGATGAGTTGCAGATGGAATTCCATTGTGATTTGCAACTGTAGGATCGTTCCCGCAATGTAAATGGGATTGCAAGTGGTGCTGCTGGATGAGTTGCCGATGGAGTTTTGAAGGAAGTCTCGCACGAAATGCGTTTTTGAGAGATAGCAGATGCACGAAACCCTATGTTTTTCCATACAAAGTGTGTCCACGAACCTCGATGATCTACCTCTGCTGTGCGACGGGTGCGAGACGGTCTCGTGTGTGGTCGGATCATGTTCGGATCGGTCTCGGATCGGTTCCGCATTGAAAATGGGGTTTCAACTGTTTTTCGTGCATGTGTGGTCGACAGAATTCCATTGTGATTTGCAACTGTAGGATCGTTCCCGCAATGTAAATGGGATTGCAAGTGGTGCTGGTGGATGAGTTGCAGATGGAATTCCATTGTGATTTGCAACTGTAGAATCGTTCCCGCAATGCAAATGGCATTGCAAGTGGTGCTGCCGGATGAGTTGCCGATGGAGTTTTGAAGGAAGTCTCGCACGAAATGCGTTTTTGAGAGATAGCAGATGCACGAAACCCTATGTTTTTCCATACAAAGTGTGTCCACGAACCTCGATGATCTACCTCTGCTGTGCGACGGGTGCGAGACGGTCTCGTGTGTGGTCGGATCATGTTCGGATCGGTCTCGGATCATGGTCGGATCATGTTCGGATCGGTTCCGCATTGTAAATGGGGTTTCAACTGTTTTTCGTGCATGTGTGGTCGACAGAATTCCATTGTGATTTGCAACTGTAGGATCGTTCCCGCATTGTAAATGGGGTTGCAAGTGGTGCTGGTGGATGAGTTGCCGATGGAGTTTTGGAGAAAGTCTCGCACGAAATGCGTTTTTGAGAGATAGCAGATGCACGAAACCCTATGTTTTTCCATACAAAGTGTGTCCACGAACTTCGATGATCTACCTCTGCTGTGCGACGGGTGCGAGACGGTCTCGTGTGTGGTCGGATCATGTTCGGATCATGCTCGGATCGGTTCCGCATTGTAAATGGGGTTTCAACTGTTTTTCGTGCATGTGTGGTCGACAGAATTCCATTGTGATTTGCAACTGTAGCATCGTTCCCGCAATGTAAATGGGATTGCAAGTGGTGCTGGTGGATGAGTTGCAGATGGAATTCCATTGTGATTTGCAACTGTAGGATCGTTCCCGCAATGCAAATGGCATTGCAAGTGGTGCTGCCGGATGAGTTGCCGATGGAGTTTTGAAGGAAGTCTCGCACGAAATGCGTTTTTGAGAGATAGCAGATGCACGAAACCCTATGTTTTTCCATACAAAGTCCGTCCCCGAACCTCGATGATCTACCTCTGCGGTGCGACGGTTGCGAGACGGTCTCGTGTGTGGTCGGATTATGTTCGGATCATGCTCGGATCATGTTCGGATCGGTTCCGCATTGTAAATGGGGTTTCAACTGTTTTTCGTGCATGTGTGGTCGACAGAATTCCATTGTGATTTGCAACTGTAGGATCGTTCCCGCAATGTAAATGGGATTGCAAGTGGTGCTGCTGGATGGGTTGCCGATGGAATTCCATTGTGATTTGCAACTGTAGGATCCTTCCCGCAATGTAAATGGGATTGCAAGTGGTGCTGGTGGAGGATTTGCCGATGGAATTCCATTGTGCTTTGCAACTGTAGGATCGTTCCCGCAATGTAAATGGCTGTGTCAAGGTTGCTTCGTGCTGTGGCTGCATTGGTAATACTATTGTCTTTTGCAGCTGGACTTTTTAAATCGTATTGGAGTGGCTGCATGAAGGCTGCGACACTGATTTGTCAGTAGATTTTCTCCATTTTGGCGCTAGTGATTTTCTTTCAAAAATGCTTTTAAAAAGTGTTTCAAAATCGTCTTTTTTTCGCTCTAGCGTCGAGATCCCGGTTTTGGAGCTACAATTTCCGACGCCGTTGCGCGTAGTTCTATTGTGTTTTGGAACTCAGTCTCTGCAGATCGCATTGTAATGGCTGCGTCAAGGTTGCTTCGTGCTGTGGCTGCATTCGTAATACTATTGTCTTTTGGAGCTGGATCTCGGAAATCGTATTGGAGTGGCTGCATGAAGGCTGCGACATGGATTTGTTAGCAGATTTTCTCCATTTTGGCGCTAGTGATTTTCCTTCTAAAAATCCCTTTAAAAAGTGCTTCAAAATCGTCTTTTTTTCGCTCTGGCGTCGAGATCCGGTTTTGGAGCTACAATTTCCGACGCCGTTGTGCGTAGTTCTATTGTGTTTTTTGAACTCAGTCTCTGCAGATCGCATTGTAATGGCTGCGTCAAGGTTGCTTCGTGCTGTGGCTGCATTCGTAATACTATTGTCTTTTGCAGCTCGACTTCGTGAATCGTATTGGAGTGGCTGCATGAAGGCTGCGACAGTGATTTGTCAGCAGATTTTCTCCATTTTGACGCTAGTGATTTTCCTTCTAAAAATCCTTTTAAAAAGTGCTTCAAAATCGTCTTGCACAACAACAGTACGTGGGTGGACGACAAAGAGTCGGACGACGAAGTTTTTTAAAAAGTGCTTCAAAATCGTCTTGCACAACAACAGTACGTGGTTGGACGACAAAGAGTCGGACGACGAAGTTCTCCGCAGACAATACCGTCATCTCTGGGAAGCTGTGCGGTCCTTTCAACCAGAGTTTGTTGATGCTGAGATGAAGCGCAGACAAGGTCTTGCCGCAGAGGTTTCAACTCTCGTTTGACGGCCGAGGGCTGGGTGTGCGTTGTTATGAACCGCATCCGGGTGTGAATGGCTGTGCTTCAGTAGCTTCGCCTTTCATTTGACCCTGCGAACCGCAGAATGCCTCTGTCACTTGGTTTTGGTTTCAGTGTGCGTTGTTACGAACCGCACAAAAAACCATGATCGTATTGCATACATGTGAAAAAAACATGGTGTCGTGGGAGCGGGTAAATGCAAGGTCCCACTAAGATCCGCTCAATGCTTTATGCAGCATGGGTTGGATTTTTGTACTTCGTTGAAAGTATGATTTTCTGGACCATTTCCTTTTCCGGACATCAGACCTCAAGCTGGGTGAGATGGTATGTTTCGTGTTTATTTGACCTCTGTTGAATGAGATGGTTGGTTGGGGATCTACAATTTGGATGAGGAAGTGCGTTTCGTATTTCTTGGACCCTAGTTGGTACGTGTAATTGTTTCTTTACTTCGACTATGGGGAATTTCGATCTGTTATATTCGCCCTATGATGTTGTCTGGTAGCGGTTGTGTAGTTTCAGCTCTGCAATGGTGCCGCTGCCGTTTGTGTCGGTCATGCATATGTGATCAAATCTATCAGCAAGACCTAAATCATATTATGTCATGTTTTGAATAATCACATGTTTTTTTTAACGCATGCATCATGGAGTTTGCAAGGGACACCCGACGTGCGACGTTACGGTCCGCGTTGGCTAACATATGTGTAGCAGCATGTTGGATATATAGGTGGAAAAATAATTTTCGTAAGTATTGTTGAGTGATTACATCGATTCGGTCAGAAAACGATCATATATAGCAAGCATGCAACGTAGCTATCATATATAGCAGGTACACGATGTCAACAAACAGCACGCATGGACACGATACAACCTTGCAACTGCGTATACTCGCAACGCGTACGTTCTGGTCCGCGCAAGCGTGGGTACGTGCGACGCTGTGGTCCGCGTAAGCTAGCGCCATGGAATCGTCGCTGTTCGAAGACCTTGTTTGTTTCTTGCAGAAAGAAGAGCTGGTGTTGAAGGCTTTGCGTGCCACGAATTTGAAAGCATGCTTGCGGACAGGGACAGGCACCAAAGGATACGAAGCAAATGCAGAGCGAGCCAAGTATTATAGAATTTACAATAAGATTGAGAAGTCAGTAACGGCTGACCAAAAAGCTACTCTAATGGATTGGGAACGAAGGCTTTGCAGTGAGGCGGAGGACATTGATTTTGCACGGTTGCTTGCCATTTTTGCAAGCCGTGAAGAGGAGCTGAAGCAAATGAGAAAACCGAGCCTCGAAGCATGCTTCAACAGCAACCTGAGCAATACAGACAAGGACTTAAAGTTTTGCCGAAATTTCTTCAAACGCAAAAAAAAAGTATGACAGATGAACAGCAAAAGGTTGTGGATGAATGGGAGGAGAAGATTTGTGGCGATGGTGCGGGGTTATGTCCTGCCATCGATGCAGATTTCACGCGTTTGCTGACTATACTGGAAAACCGCGAAGATGACTTGCGACAAATGCGAAAAACAAGTCTCGAAGCATGCTTCAACAGCAACTTGAGGAATACAGACAAGGACTTACAGTTTTGCCGAGATTTCTTGAGGCGCAAAAAAACAAGTTGGACAGATGAACAGCAAAAGGTTGTGGATGAATGGGAGGAGAAGATTTGTGCCGATGGTGCGGGGTTGTGTCCTGCCATCGATGCAGATTTCACGCGCTTGCTTACTATACTGGAAAACCGTGAAGATGACTTGCGACAAATGCGAAAAACAAGTCTCGAAGCATGTTTCAACAGCAGCCTGAGCAATACAGACAAGGACTTAAAGTTTTGCCGAAATTTCTTCAAACGCAAAAAAACAAGTATGACAGATGAACAGCAAAAGGTTGTGGATGAATGGGAGGAGATCATTTGTGCCGATGGTGCGGGGTTATGTCCCGCCATCGATGCAGATTTCGCACGCTTGCTTACTATACTGGAAAACCGTCAAGATGACTTGCGACAAATGCGAAAAACAAGTCTCGAAGCATGTTTCCAGACACGTGTCAGCAATGCAGACAATGATCTAGGTTTTGGACGGAACTTTTTCCGCCGGCGGAAATATATGTTGACGGATGAGCAGCGCAAGGTTCTTGAGGACTGGTCTTCCAAGATTTGTTCCCATGAGCATGTTGATGATGGCTTTCGGCGCTTTCTTTCAACTTTGCATGCTCGAGCACAGGAGCTGTCTGCCTTGCGAGAGAAGTGTGCAGTGTGAAGTGTGAAGTGTGAAGTGTGAGGTTTGGAGTGTGAAGGAAGCAGTGAGAAGTGAGAAGTGTGGAGTGTGAAGTGTGGAGTGTGAAGTTTGAAGTTTGGAGTGCGAAGAGTGCAGTGTGCAGTGTGAGGTGTGGAGTGTCGAGGGAAAGACACGGTCGGGACAGGGTGTCTTTGAACTATAGGTCATTTATGTTTGGGAAACTTCCGCCGCCGGCTTGCCCGGGTCTATGTTATATATATATATATATACACATAATATATATATATATATGCATACACACATGTATGTCTGGCATAAGCCACAAATCAAGGACTCCCGGTAACCAGGGTTATATACATGGGAGAGTCCCAGACTAGTGGAATGTTCATAATTTCCTAAGCTATATCTGATGATTTCTATGGCTTATAGACCATTCCTAAGTGCATCGTTTCCATTGAACGTACCCGGGGTATACTTCGGGGTTCACTCCAAGTTAGGGGGTGAGTTCACCCTGCTAGCCTTCGGGGTTAGAATCCAGCGGGGTGAACCGTCAAAGAGCCATTGATACCTATCCTATCCCCACAAAATTTGGTCGTATCCGTTATGTGAGCTATTTTCAATGGATTGGTTTAAGGGAAAATCTACAGGAAACCATAGATTTTCCCACTAAATATGGGGCTTTCCTGTAAATTTTCCCTTAAGCCAATCCATTGATATTTCTGATGTGGGTCATATGGCTATTTCTGATGGGTAACTAACCTAATATCTGTTGAAATTTGGGGAAGCCCCATATGTTTTGCTTTCAAGGACCCACACTGCCCGCCAACTCATCAGGACCTGGCGAAGTCTGACCTAAAGGCTGCGAAGCAGGGTGTGGCTGCCTTAAGTGCGTTGAGCGTGGCGTGCCACTTTCGCCAAAGCTTGCGGAAGCTGTGGCCTGGTGGTGATGGGACTTGCGAAAATCGGGGGGGTTGTCTGAACTTTTGGCACCCCCAAATTCAGTTTTATCAGTTTTTCTATGCTTGAATGGCCATAATTTGCGCTATATGCCATTTCTGACAAACATTTCAATCAGGAAAAACTCCCATAGAAAATTGCTGGGTAAACCCATATTTTGCAGGTTCAATCTCCAAAATCCCACCGAAACATGATAGGTGATGTTTATCTGAAGGTTTCCTAACATGGGGGACCCCAAGTTATCATCCCAAAAATATGGGTCATTTTCTTCATGGGAAACCAATGGGCCCAATTTTGGGAAACACCCAGTCATTGATAACTGGTTGGTGGTTTGGAACATGGATTTTATTTTTTTCCATTCAGTTTGGAATATCATTTCATCCCAACTGACTATAACTCCATCATTTTTCAGAGGGATGGGGAAAAACCACCAACCTGTATATATAATGGAGATATGGAGGATTAATGGTGATCACTGGAGATATAATGGGGATATAATGGGGATACAATGGGAGATACCCTCTGGTAATTTAACATAGCTATGGAAAATCACAATTTTTGATGGGAAAATCCACTATAGATGGTCATTTTCAATAGTTTTTTGTATGTTTACCAGAGGGTATACCAATTAGATAACGATTGATACTGGGCCAGATTTTCTACCACCAGAATTCATCCACCAAGATCGCCATTTGAGGTAAATATCAACCATAAATATGGCCATGGCTTCAATAGCAAACTGTTAGTTTACCAGAGTGTAATATCAATATTCATAATGGTATAGACATCCTTGGTTTGTTTCCTGGTTTTTTGTCATGTTAAACCCCCGATTTTGATGGTCAAATGCCATAAGAAAATCACCCGGTTCCTGGATGTCTTAAGGTCCTTGGCCTTTGTCGAGGATGAGGTTCCGGAACTTGGGAATCCACGGCAAACAACTTGGGGGAAGTGATATAACAAGGTGGCAGCAGATCAACATGATCCTCAATATCGGTGTATATATAGCAATATATACAGTGTATATATATATATGTATATATATATATACAATATAAGATAATAATAGTAGTAATAACGACAGTAATGACAGTAGTAATAACAATAGTAATAATACCAGTAAAAATAGTAGTAATAATAGTAATAATAGTAATGATAATAGTAATAAAAATAGTAGTAGCACATCAACATGATCCTAAGTATAGGTGTATACACCGGAACCTACCTTTAGCATTTTTTGGGAGTATTTATACAAAAATAACCTCTTATTTTGTTGGCATTTTTTTTTTTGCGAGGGGCTATGAAGGGAATCATGCCGTAAGTCGGGGATGATCCAGAAAAACGTGAGTTCATGAAAACCATTCGTAGAGTTGGTTACCATACAATGTTGATATACTCACTACTACAAAATTGAATTACTAGTATGATGCTTTACAAACCAATATTGTAATATTGGTGAGTTGTCTTTTAGTATTGCGGATACAGGTGAAATGTGTTTGACTATTGGGAACTTTCATGGCCCGCATCTATCCGAATCTATGGGGGTCATCTCCGTGACTAAGTGGGTAATAACCATATTATATCTTATTTAGACGAGTGGAATATCCCCAGATATGTGCCGATTGTATCTGAATTATAACTGGTTGGTGGTTTCAAACATTTGGATTATTTTCCATTTCATATATGGGATGTAATCCTTCCCATTGACGAACTCGATCATTTTTCAACACGGTTTTTGAACCACCAACCAGATCATCATATATCACATATGTCCTACTTAAATCCCCATTTTGGTTGGTCACATCAGATGGTGAAATCCCCAGTAACCAGTAATGGATGAGTCATGCATTCATAGACAAATTACTCATTGGATGAACATCATCATCTCCGTGGCCTGCGCATCCAGCAAAGACAAGCCTTTAAAGGTGCACGTTGCTCAGATGTCCTTGGGCGTGCCAGGTGGGGGTGGTGGTGGTTAGTGGTTCGCCATCCAAAAAATGGTTGACCCTCTGATAATCAGAGGTGGCAATGGAAAACACCAATGTATAGATGATTTTCCGATCAACATCTCCATTTGTAGGGGATTTTCCATTACCACGTTTGAATACCTGGGTAACCAGCAATAAATGGGATTTAACCAGCGTAAATGGAGGATTTAACCAGTAATGAACGGGGACTTAGCTAGCCAGTAATGGGGGACTTATCTGGCAATACATGGGCCCGTTTGCCTTAGTTTGCGGCAATTTTGAATTGGGAAGACGAGGTTCCAAACCACCGGACTTTGATGCAACCAGCAATAAACGGAGATGTGTATTTAGTTGGGAAACCACATCGATTTTGTTGAACCCCTGGTTTTGTATTGGTTGCAAAGCATTCTTCCCATTTCCTGTCGAGGAGGTTGGGTCACATCGGCGCTTTTCGCTCTGTGACTTTTTAAGGTCATCATCCCTCACAAGTCGTCACGAGAAGTTTTTGTAGCTGCTACTTTACTGAAAGGTGGCTCACTAAAGCCAAATATCGGCTTAAAACAAGTCCGTCTCCGGTAAATAAAGGTGGCAGTGGAAACTCTCACATTTACATATGCATATATATATATATATATACATAATCGTGCTATTCCGAGTGGAGATTTTCCAGTGAGTCATGTATTTTTAAGGGGGGACATCGCATCCCATTGCGCTTGTGACAAATTTTCAACCCCTCCTCTAGATGTTCTTTTCAAAGGGTCTAGGTAAACATTGGGAACATTGTGTGCATGCTCTTGACTTTGATGGAACATGTTTCAGCATTTCTTATGCAAGAAAGTTAGCTGCGGGTTTGAAAGGGAGCTGAAGATATAGACCAGTTGTTTTCTGTGTCGCATCCGTGGAACGTATCCCAGGTTTTGTCTACTTGGGATTTGGATCCTAGTCCTACAAAATTCAAAGAAGCGATCGGATCACTGTGCCTTTTTTGGGAACATCCACCTGCTTGGAATCTGACATAGCAATGGAAAATGGACATTTAATGAATCGGTAAATCATCCACAGATAAGGATTTTTCTCATGGTTATGTTAAAAAATATCAGTGTAGGGCAATTCTAAGTGAGTATCCCAAGATAGAGTGTTCAGTGTTCAATACCCGCATGCTTGGTAAGCCCTCACGCCGGGGCATCTCATCTACATTTGGGTTGGAACCATGATTAGAGACCACTTGTCTCCATCATCATTGGTTATATTATAACAATCCTTTTTGTTGCTTAAAGCAACTTTTTTTGTAGCTTGAATCTCCATACACACTGTTGTGGGCGAATTCCAGCTACTGTCGCGTGAGCCCCTTTTCTGTTTTTCCCCAGACAGTGTGTCCACACTGAGGGGTTCTTACGGTAGCTGTAAAGGCGGGTGCTTGATCAGGGTGCTCACTCTGGTCTCGAGCCTTTTTCCTGTAGATTTCCGCAGAAAGTGGCTCTTGTGAAATGTTGACGTGCATTTCGACTGCGCAGGCTCGCACAAAGTGTGTGTCTGCGGTTCTGGGCTCGGGCACTTTTCCTGAAATTTGCTCTTGCGCAGATGTCTTACATTGTTCTTGTGTCGTGTTGTGTTTCATCCTCACCGTCATCATCACGATCATCATCATCATCATCACCATCACCATCACCATCATCATCATCATCATCATCATCATCATCATCATCATCATCACCATCATCATCATCAGCATCATCACCATCACCATCATCATCATCATCATCATCATCATCATCATCATCATCATCATCATCATCAACATTATAATGCATGATCCTCATCCCCATCACCATCACCATCACCATCATCATCACCATCGCCATCATCATCATCATCATCATCATCATCATCATCATCATCACCATCACCATCACCATCACCATCATCACCATCATCATCATCATCACCATCACCATCATCATCAACATTATAATACATGATCCTCATCCTCATCATCATCATCATCATCATCATCATCATCAACATCAACATCATCAACATAATAACACATTATCCTTCTACCCCCCCCCACACTGTTTGGGGTCTCTTGCCGGGTTTATTTTGACAATTCCAACTTCCTTTTCTGGCTTACATTTCCATTTTGTTCAACTCCTCGTTCTGGTGGCAAGAAAACATAATCCTTTTTTTTCGTTGCTGAAATCTTTCAATTTTTTGGTGATTTCCATCCTGATTCCACTGGAATCGTGTGACAGGAAGTGGTGGTAGCGATCGTTCATGGAATTGGCCGGAGATGAAGGCCATGTTTGGAGCCTTGCAAAAACAAAAGATGGGGACGACGAAAAAACGGATTCAGTCAAGGTTTCATGTTTCCAATGTTTTTTGGGGCGCAGATGTGGGGAAATCATGTTCCAAACCGTTTTTTTTGGTAATTTTGCGGACATTTTGGTGTTTTGATACGGACTTGTCTGAATTTGCTGGGTGTATCCATAAGTGTGGGAACCCTAATTTGGGGAACTCTCCCAACCAATCTTTTTTGCGACAGTTAACACCGCATTTGCGACGGTTGATTTGGTAACATCTCCATGGGTGTTGGTTGCATACCAATTTTATTTCCGGCGGGATATCTGTTTACAATCAATTTGGTGGTTTCTTGAAATAGGGGTACACCCAAATCATCCAGTTATAGATGGATTTTCCCTTATAAACCAACCATTTTGGATACCCCCATTTATGGAAACCCCCATTTGGATAGATTCTCAGTCTGTTGGTTGACATGAACACAACTTGTTGATGGTTGCCTTAAATCCCGAACTTTCAATGATATAATTCCGAAATTGGATGGTTTAATCCCTGAACTTTTCATGGTCAATTTTCCCTATGTTTGTTGGTTAATTTGATTTCGCCATTGAAACCACCATTTCTTTCATGCATAGCCTGACTTCTGGTGGTGAATTCAATTGATACTCGTATATTTTGGTGATTTCAATCCAATTCGAACACCTAAACCCAATGCTTCTGGTTGGTGGTTTGGAACATGAATTTTATTTTCCCATATACTGGGAATAATAATCTTAACTGACTACCCTCTGGTAATTTAACGTAGCTATGGAAAATCACCATTTTCAATGGGAAAACTCACTATAAATCACCATTTTCAATAGCTATTTTGACATAACCAGAGGGTAACTGACTAATATTTTTCAGAGGGGTGGCGAAAAACCACCAACCAGTCTTGCTTCAAATCCCTCGCTGGTGACATTGGCATCACTGGCACTGGCTGGGGAAACCAAGGACTTCGGAAGCGTTACCAGCGACGCATGGAGGAACGTGGCTGGGCCCGAGGTTGTGTCACTGCGAGGGAGATGTTCCTTGAAAGTCCAAAGTTTCAATAAGTTTAATACATATATAATTATATATATATATATATACAAATTGGCATATACAATCATATACATATACACTACATTAGTGTGTATATGTATACATATATATATATATGGTCCTTCATTATATTGCATTTTTTTGCTGCCAGTTGCAGCTCCGTTCGGAAAGCTCTGTTCGAACTCCAGCCGAGGTGAAGAGGAGTTGCGCGAACGGGAGCTGCAAAGCCATCCGCTGAGCGAGTTCCGCGTGGTGAACCTCGGCGTGGAAGTCAGGGGATTTTCATGGATTTCCCTGGCCATATTTGATTAGCGAGGGGTACCCGGCCTGGTCAACATACAAAAAGCTATTGAACATGGCCATTTATAGTGGATTTTTCCATTAAAAATGGTGATTTTCCATAGTTGTGTTAGTTTACTAGAGGGTACAGTACATGTTTTTTTTGGGAAACCATTGAACCTCGTTTCAGATTTATTAGTTAGAAGGGACTACCCTTGCCATGTTGAAATGCCATTTTGACTACATACTGGTCAGCTTCGCCCAACACAAAATGCTGACTTTACCAACTACAGTTTTCATATTTCATAGCATTTCGATTCCATTCAGATCATTCAGCCCATTTTTACGTCCATTTTTTTGACCTGGTTGAATTACCATTTCCATTTCAGCCCATTAAAAAATTCTCCGCATGGGATCTGGATGACCTGATGACCTGATGATGGTAGAATCGTTGGAACATCTGCCAGATGGGATCTGATGAGGATGGTCAGGGGCAATGATCAATCCTTATCGCAGAGGGGGGTTCTTAAAATGGATCCCCAGTCCTTATGGGTTTCAATACGAAGGCATGGTCCAATGACTTGGATGATTGATGATTTTTTAGGGGTAGCGCCATTTTACTTAGGAACTCCCTATTATACTTCATGGAAAAACTCATCCATAATTCCTTCGAAGCAAAATCCAATCTTTCTAGAACTTCATAAACTTCTTCATCTCATTGCAAATCGACCATTGGAATGGGACAATCCTGAATAAAACAAGTACCCTCTGGTAAACTAACATAGCTATGGAAATCACAATCTTTAATAGGAAAATCAACTATACATGGCCATTTTCCAGTTCGCAAACTGTTTGTTTACCAGAGGGTAACAATTCCAGTTCTTCCACAGTTCAACAATTACCAGGAACTTCATCGAAATCGGCATGGTAACCCATTCTTGGACCACAATTTTTAGGGGCTCCAAATTTACCCCCGTTGTGTTGGCGCATATGGTACAAGTTGGGATGCGCGGGCTCCAGATATATGGTATACTACATGAGATGTATGTAGAAATATTTAGCTAAATATACTATGGCTATATAAATATATGGTATTTCCACATGGTATACTATGGTTATAGATCTCATACCAATATATACATGTATAATCATGTATATATATATGTACATACCTGTGGTATTTCGTATGGTATCTTATGGTATACCATGCCACTGAGTTCAGAACTAGGCTCCCGTTTGTAGCCGCAGGAATCCCGGCGCGATCAGCTCGCACAAACTGCTGGGTGACGTCCCACTGACGGTGGGCGATGTAGTGCTTCCCATCGAACTTCATTCAGGCGCGCCAGGAGGATCCTCGTGGCTAGCTGGAAATCCCTTAAAATGGTGATTTAATGGGATTTCATGATAATTCCATGGGAACATATCACTGTAAATGGTCATTTCATAACCAACAGGACAAGATGGGAGATTCCTGGGAATTTTGGTTGGGAAATCCTTGATAAATCAAGGTTTATGGTTGGGAAAATCCATTGAACTAAAGATTTTACGGCCTGCGCCGCCTTTGAGTACTGGGTCGATGGGAATCCATGGGTTTTAAGACCTACCACCTGACAATGCCCGTGGTGTCCCCATCTGCATCCATGTCTTAAAAACACACAACCATGGCTTGCTGCAAAATCCACCATTTCGTTCAATAATTTCCCGAGCCAAGTAAACCTCCACGTATTTTCGGGAGTTCCATATGTTCCCATGCGTTTTCCCATGATTTTCTTGCTTTTAGGGATCTCCCAGCCATGGAGCGACACCGGACGTGCCGAGGCCTGTGGCTGGAGATGACTACGGGAGCCACCTGCCCCATGATTTCGCACGAGGAGGACAGGGATGAGGCGGGGTTCAATGGGTCAAAACCACCCAAAAAACATGGGGTACCCCCAGTGATCATCCATTTTTGTTTCGGATTTTCCATTGTAAATCATCCATTTAAGGGGGTACCCCTATTGTAGGAGACCTTCAGATGGTAAAACGCTTGTAAATGGGGGTTTCTTCAACTGGGGCGATCCCCAAAACCATGGCTTTCGGAAGCAAAATGGTAAGATTTGGATGATTTGGGGCCAACCCCATTTTAGACAAGTCCCAAAATGGATCTTCATCTCCCAAACATTTTTTTAAATGTTTTGTTCCATCCCCCTACCCACCAGAACGGCACCCAACTTATGTACATTTGACTGTTTAAACCATGATCTTCTGTCATGTTTCTTCGGAAGCACCGGCTAAGAATGTAAAAGAACACCTGTTGGGGCTGAGGGGTGCTAGTCATTTTGAGCATCAACTTCTGGTTCCACATGATTGGCCCTCAAAAGTTAATTGTATGTATATCGGTATATCTATACGTAAATTTATGTGTATATATAAATATATACACATTATGTATCTATGATATCCAAATATCGCAAATATGGATATACAACTGACTATACGCATACATTAAACTGACAACATACCTTTCTGGGTCGATTGTGTAGTCCCCCAAAGAACATATCAGGCCTGACCGAGAGTTTTACACTGAATCGACAAACAGCCTGGGGTTCACCCGATGTGACCGCGCAGATGTTGCTGAGACCTACAAGCAACTACTGGCTAGCGCCTTGGCTTCAGATCGTTGAGATGTTTGGCTTCATGGATGCTGCAACAGCTAGTTTTAACCGGGATAATCATGCGATTCTTTCACGGGATTCTTTTACGGGACTATAATGGTGTACCCTCTGGTAATTTAACATAGCTATTGACAATGGCCATTTATAGTGAATTTTCCCATGAAAAATGGTGATTTTCCATAGTTATGTTTGTTTACCAGAGGGTACCACTGTAATCGGGTATGATATATGAGCATTGGGGTTTAACATGGTTTAACCTGGTTTTTAAAACACCATCCTGGACCAGGGTTTTTTTGGCCAACCTTTGATATTTTTTATACCCCCAAATCGAAATCCAGGTGAAATATAATATATGGGTATTTGGGGTATTTTGGGAAAGTACCTGGTAAAACATATCCAATATTTGGTTTTGGGGCCTGAAGATAGTGGGTATTCAATATGATCAGGGGATGGGATGCGGTCAATCAGAGACACCGGTATGGATGTGCCCCGGCAAAAGATCAGAGAGAAACCACATTTCTAGGTCAATCTTAGATGGATACAAAATGATACAAACTAATCCTAACTCAAAACTTTTGGTTTCAATGGGAATATATATATATAGACGTTGACCAGCAACGAATTTGATTTTTTGGCAGTGATTTGAACGGCCAGCCCAGTCTAGCCCTCTCACCAACCGGACGGGATGACGGATGGTTGAACGAACACTGCTCATTATTTCGATGTTTTAACCAGGAAAAAAGAAAGGGAATAGACATATTGATGGATGATCAAAGGATATCAAGGGTTAACCTCCTATAATTGAGGTAATATGGAAGGTAATATAGGTTATATCAAAGGGTTTTGCATGGATATTGGTTGATGATTGGGGGTATGGATTGGGGGATTCAAAGTCTTTGCTGGGAGGATGTTCCAATTTCAAAAAAACAAGGTGGTAAACAGTCATGTTCGTTGGTTGATAACCCCCATGAATACTATCGAGATATCTACCACAAACCATAGAATTCACTGATAATAGTAATTATAATCATTTATAAACCATGTGATTCACTGATTTATAAACCATTTAGGTTAATATCACCATGTGATTCACGGATTTATAAACCTATTTAGAATTACGAATTCACTGATGGTTTATAAACCATTTTACCTGCAATCAAACGTGGCGAGCTGGGAAATCAGCAATAGTTCGATGATTTTCCCAGCTGACACCTCCATGGATGGGGATTTCCAGCCGCGTTTGGTTAGTGGGTGAGTGGAGAATGAATCACATTTAAAGTCTAACGTATATAAGATAACCAGTAATCAAACTAGCACTAACATAACCTGGTTGGTGGTTTCAAACATTTTTTTCCATAATATATGGGATGTCATCCTTCTCATTGACTTTCATATTTTTCAAAATGGTTAAAACCAGCAACCAGCATATATAATCATATATAGAGATGGGATAAACCCACATTAACCATCATTAGTCATCATTTTGCTGTCGGATATATACACACCAACCAGTAAACACATTCTGGTTAGTAATATGGATATATGATATATGGGTAACTTATAACGACCGAACCCTGTTCTCCCTCACTGGAATCATGGTTTATAAGGGGAATCATCCCAAAATGGCCTAACCATTCAGGTTAGTGAAATATTATAATTTACCCAGATATGGGTAATAAGGGCAATATCTTTGAAGCCTCTGGTGGAATGTAGTGGATTGGCTCAGATGCCTGGCAGTGGCAATGGTTAGTCTGGAAGATGAACATTTTCCCATTGGATAGGGCAATTTTGGTTTCCATTTTTCCCAAGATGATGATTTTCCCATTGGATAGCCATGTTCCCATTGTTGTCAAATGTAGATGTACCGTTCCTTGTGTTGCCGTGTTACCATACGTTTGACAAGCCCCGTTATTTTCTCCAGTTTTGGGTCATTTTTGGTGGTAAACCCACCCCCCTTCCGCCGAAGATTGGAGATCCCACCATCACTGTTTGGACACTCATTCATCTTATCCCAATCAGCCAAGGATTTTTTTGATTTTGGCCATATGACAAACATGTGGAGGAGTCAGAATTTCAGTCACGTAGCATGATTTTTTTTGGGAGGAATCAACATCCATTGAAGCATCGCTATATATAAATAGATGAATAATGTGGTTAAAACAATAATAAACCACCGATTTGGGAATGGTCTATACCACCCATTTATGGTGATTTTGGGGATGGTAAACATGGCATTGTTAAAAAACCACATTAGATAAATAAATATCCCATGACCCAATGATTCTTTTTTGGGTTCAGTGGATCCATTGAAGATCTCCATCCCATTCCCAGGCACGGGAGACGATGCCCATCTTCCCACACCCCGTGGATTCGGAGGACGAGGAGGACTCAGGGACCCAGGTGGACTCAGAGACGACCTTCGTCTTCAAACCGGTGTGCCTTGACGAAGGGATTTGGAGGGTTTGGCTGGTAAAAGAACATAGCGAACTGGAACATTGAAGCATTTAGTTCGATGATTTGGAACATTTTTTTTATTTTCCATTTCATATATGGGATGTCATCCTTCCCATTGACGAACTCCATCATTTTTCAGAGGGATTGACACCACCAACCAGATTTAGTTCGATGATTTAGCTATTGTTTTTCTTTTTATTCTCAGAGTTATGTTGGCTTACGAGGGGGTAGCCTCTGGTTGAGTACCGCAGCGAACTGGGACATGACCACTATGAAGAGATAAACATGGGCCATTTTCCCTAGCAATCTCAAATAACCAGAGGGTACACATCATTCGTGTTATATCAATGGAAATCACATCAGGCTAAAGTCATGATAGAAATATACGCATTCTATTGATGATTGATTTCGTGGGATATTACTATATCTACTTTTCCTTTTTGGGTGCTTTTTTCGTAGTTTGAAACTTGAACTCATGGCTGAGTGGTATACCTATAGATTCGCCAGATGATCCTGTAGTGACACCTGGGCTGGGAAATCCCCCCTTTCTGATCGATTTTCCCAGCCACGATGACCGGAGGCGTCATCCAGATATTTGGTGCTGACTGGAACATGAATGGATGATTTTTCCCATCATATTGGGATTATTGGGAATAATTAATCATCCCAACTGTTACTAAAACTCCATGATTTTTCAGGTGGCGAAAAACCACCAACCAGCAGTTGTTTTTGGAACATCTGCCGAGATTGCTTTTCCGAGACTAAGACCAAAAACAAACACGGTACCATTGATTCACCATGATTCACCGTTGCGGTAAGCGATTCTGGGTCGCTGGGGAGCTGGCCATGAATCGTCATGGGCGGGGAATGGTACAAGGTTTTTGGTTTTTCAGTGATGTGAATGTTGCTTTATAAATCCATGAAAACTAACTTGTAGGGAATATTGACCCATGTTGGTTTATAAATCCAATAAACCCATTCGGGTTGGTGATTTCAAACATGTTGATTTTCCATAATATATGGGATAATCCTTCCCATTGACTTTCATATTTTTCAAGATGGTTAAAACCACCAACCAGCATTATAGTTGACCCGGTTATATTCCCCATTCATCAACCCAAACGTTTACTCACTTCTGTGCGTCAACTTAGCGGACCGTAAACGGGAGCCTCACCTTGCAACGTCCAAACCACCACGTTTTCTGGGCATGTGAACATGGGACGAGCTATGACAAAAATTGCTTCCGGAATCTTCCTTACCCTCTGGTAATGACTAACATAGCGAACTGGAAAATCACCATGCTATTCATGGGAACATTCACGAACTAAATGGTGATTTTCCCATCAGTTTTTTGTACACCAGAGGGTTTTTTCAATCAGGCTCCAGTAACTTGGCACATAGTGATTTCTTATGCCGGGGATGATCCGGGGTAATCCTCCCAGCTGGTGTGTTTCGCCAATCGGGTGACGTTTGGGGCTCTTTATGTAATGCATACACGTATCTGTTACATGGAAGAAAATGCCGATATATAGAGTGTGTATATCTATATTCTAGATCCAAATCTCTCTGTCTCTCTCTCTCTCTGCATATGTATATATGGTATCTATCTGTGTAGTGTCAACCCTGGATGAATAAACCCCAAACTGCTGTTTTTCATTGCGAAGGTACCATAAAAAAGTATCAGGTATCATGACTATTGGGGGAATACTACCTTACTACCCCAATAAACCATGGTTGACATTAGCAATAATCAACAATCCCCAAAATCACCATAAATGGATGGTATAAATCATCAAAAAATGTGATGGTTTATGGCATTGTTTTACCCACATTTCTCAGGTAAACATCCCATTTATTCACCAGTTGAGTAACTCTACAAGTTGGTGCCCCAGTTGGAGCAAAACATATTAATGTGGCTAAAAGAGTGAATTATGTTAATACACTGGCAAAAATGGTTAATACACTAATAAACCAGAAATCCAATCAGCTGTTGAATTTCCGATCCCATCGATCTTTCTCTTTCCGAGGCAGCAGGAGATGTTGGAAAGGGGCGATCTCGTCCGCTCCTCTGAGGCCAAGTTGTACCCAGAGCCACTCGGCGCGGGCCGAGGGCCGATTTCCCAGAAATCTCTAGATGGTTACCCTCTGGTAAACTAACAGTTTGCTATTGAAAATGGCCATTTATAGTAAGTTTTCCCATTAAAAATGGTGATTTTCCATAGTTATGTTAGTTTACCATAGGGTAATGGTCAGGTTAATATCCATGAATAGCGGTTAATAGTGATAAACAAGTGATTAGGAGTGAAACTCTTAGTGATTCATAGTTCATGGTTAAAACATGTTAAAACCCTTGAAACAAAAACTAGTAGTGGTTCAACCCATGGAAAAACAGTGATGAATAGTGGGACTAAATATGGATCACCCGACAAACTAGGGGGCTTGTCAACCGTCCTGTAACCGTCCCTGCTTAGTCCTTAACAATCGCGATCTAACCAATAACGGGGAATTAACTCAGCTAGGAAGTAGGTAAAAGCCACAGTTATACTAATTTACAAATTAAAAGGTGCCTTCTGGTAATTCAACATAGCTATGGTATAGATGGACCATTTATCAGTTATTTAGCTACTAAGCATGATGATTTTCGCTATTTAATTGAATTACTGGAGGTAGTGGCTGTTGGTAGCCCGGCCCAACATGTGGCGCTTGGTGGGTCACCTGACTGGAAAAAACTTTCAAATTGGCTCTAGGTGGTTTGATGCATGGCTAGGCTGTGGTGTTCCCCCTAGTGGCTTCTGTCTGGATGATCCAAAGGTTTAGGTGTTGGGGTGAGCCGGGGTGAGCTATCGCCTGATGGACATGGAAAACACGCTTCGGAGCTATGAATTGAGTTTGCCAAGAACATGATACCCTCTGGTAAACGTTTACATAACTATGGAAAACCACCATTTTTAATGGGTAAATCCACTATTTCTATGGCCATTTTCCATAGCTATGTTAAATTACCAGAGGGTGTCTTGCTTCGCAATTTCTGCTGCATCATTTTAACTGTCGGTTTTGCCATGCTTAAACCTCCTCCGAGGTTTGTGGCGGTGGAAGAGAAGGCTTCGGAGCCGTGGCGAGGGTTGGGCGCCATAATGTGGGTTGATCCAATGAAGCCGGCATTTTCACATATCCTTGGGTTGATGTAATACCAGTTTCACATATATATATAACTTGGTTGATCTGAAATCTGAACATGCCATAACTTGGAAGTATAGCATATTTTCAGACAGAACCAATTTTCATGTCCGGGTTGATCCAACAAAGTATCGGTGAATGGTAGCCACAATGAATTTGGTTCTCCTTGTACCTGGGGTGTTTGAAGCACCCCTGAATGTGGTTTCCATCTCCAGCGATTCTTGGTGCTTTCTTTTCAATTTGTTATTTCAAACCCTATTTTGGGATGATGATCGCAATTGAGCAATGTGGTAAACTCAATAAGAAACCATGATGTGTCAGAACCTTCTTCTTCTCTCCTTCTTTCTCTGACTTTTTTTCTTCTTCGGAGGGAGTATTTCCGTCCTCCTTTGTCTCCTTCTTTCTAGCTCTTCCTGTTCTTTCTTTGCTTTCCTGCTTTCTTCCTTCCTCATCCTCTGGGGAATGTTTCATGGCCTATGGATAATGCACCATTTTCTTGGGCAGATGTTCGCTGGTCGCTGGTCGGCAACACATTTCAAGTAACAAACTTAGATATCAGGAAGGTGAGCAAAAACTATTGGTAAAAACTATTGGTATATGAAGGTTTCCATAAATGCTGATACCCCAAAACGCATGGTTGAATGGAAAGTTCGGAAACCTCCATATGGGTAGAGACATGGAAAGGATAATCCCGTATCACCCAAATTACCCATCAGGCATAGATACACAATAGTTGCAGGGTATCTTAAGTTCACACCAAATCATCCCATCATCATTGTGATTGCACCAATTTGGGAATGTCTAGAAATGGGATACCCAAAATGACTGGCTTAATTGGGAAGATTATGATGACCATTGGACTCTTCGAGTACCATCGTTTCAGACAGACCGATATTTGAGCAATCAATGCAATTGCAATGAGCAGAGCTCGGTAGTTCCCAACCTCATACTCCAACAACCAAATGATCCAACATTAACGGACATTTTGCTCACAAGAACATGACATTGCCCTAATTTAGTCCAGAAAGCCAATAGTCCTGTACTCAAACAATGCCCAAACTTTTTTGGTAAAACCATTGATGTCCCTTTGCAGCTGGTTCATTAATAGAGGTGCCACCCTTTATAACCAGTCACCGCCCCAGTCAGGTCACACCCGAATAGTGGATGGTTAAGATTGCCCTTACAATCGTAGTTGTTGGTGGTTGAGACCCGCCCTTCATAGACCCAAACATAGTGGGGGGCCTCCGAACTGCTGGGGGTGTTGGCGAAGTCTGTATGAAGACCCATTACGAGTAGCTTAACATGGCTATGGACAATTGCTCGTTTGCAGATGATTCATGGAGGTTTCCTGAAATGGGGGTACCCCGATTCATCATCCATTTTCATAAACCAACCATTTTGGATCATTTTGGGATCCCCTATTTCAATGGGAATTTCAGGATCCTAAAATGGAGGTACTGTACCATATAAGGCCATATTTTCTGGGGATATCCCCTTACATAGGCCTTATATAGGCCTTATATATGGTAGGTACCTCCAATTTAGGATCCTGGAATGGCCATTGATTATTTATGGAAACCACCTTATAAATATATACAAAAAACTGGGGGTTTTCCAGTTCGCCAACTGCGACAGTCAGAAAACCAGACCGTTTATCCCAGATCATCCCAAGAATTCCCATGGGTATATTCGAAGTTTTCATGGTTAAATCATGGTAAGATTATTGGTTAATAAACCCCATTGACTAGTTCGATATAAAATTTTTACCCTCTGGTAAACTAACATAGTAAACTAACATAGCTAATGAACATGACCATTTATAGTGAGTTTTACCATTAAAAATGGTGATTTTCCACCGTTTTTTGTATGGTTACCAGAGGGTAAAATCACCATAAGCCTCGGTGAACTTTTCACCAACGCGATTTCGTCAACGTGGGCCTCGGCCTTAAACAAAAATCCACCGTTATCCATCGGGGAATGGGAAATCCCATGGGCTTTAGGCCATTGTGTATCCCATGACATATCCACATGGAAAATCCCACATGACATGGGAAATATCCCATGACATTTGTATCTATTGAATGGGAAATCCCATTGTGTATCCCATACTATTCATTCCAATCCATATGCCCATTTTGAAGGGTCATTTAGAAAGCCAGCGTTTTTTTTTCAGCAATCCATCGCTGAGGACTTCATTCACATCCGTACCTTGGATGGGAAACTCATCTTCACCGTTTCATCGGAGGATGACCTGTTGGACTTCCCGCTGAAGATCCTGGTCGTGGCTGGTGGGTGAAGCTATCGGGAATGGGAATGGAATGGATGGAATGGGATGATGGTGATCCAATCCGTTTTTGGGAAAACCATAGGAAAATGGTGCTTTTATGGGAAAATCATAGGAAAACCATAGGAAAATATGCTGGTAATGACTAACATAACTGATGGGAAAGATCCACCATGCTATTCATGGGAAAATCCACTATTTCGACTGGGCCATTTTCAATAGCTTTTTGTATGTTTACCAGAGGGTATCTCCCAAAATTTTCGAAGCAGGAAGTCACTATTTGTTTTTGAGACAAAGCGATTCTTGGTCACATATGGCTGGGATTATTCGTCACTTCATGCTGATGTATATGTATTACAAAATCTCCACATATATATATATATATGTACATGAACATGAATATGAGTTGGATGTATCATTCTACTCTCATGGTAAAGTTCAGGCAACATGGTTTTAAACCAACAAATATAGTTTGCTATGGATGGAAAATCCCCGTGGTTGACAAGACAAACCTGGGGCTTTCGGGGCCAAAATTATGGATGATGAACGTGCAAACATGTTATATACTATTTTTTTCATGTTTCTCTTTCAATTTTATATCACAAACAATTGACTTTTTTGAATACCACCAACAATTGAAGATATTTGTTATATCACCAACAAGGTTTTCTTTTTCAAATCACCAACAAAGAAATTCTGCCGCCATCGTCTACAGCTACCTGTGGTGTTCATAAACGGTAACCAGTCCAGGTTTGGGTCATCTGTTCTCCCATTTAGAGAGATAACAGCAACCAAATTGCCAGCGTGTTGGCTTTGTTGTGGGATTATTGGCGGCCAAAGTTGGAATATCTCAAGGCTGCAATGGTTCAGTTTAAAACACCAAAATTGGTGGTTCCAATTGATCGCTATTCAAAACCTCAATTTTGACCCACATCCCCACATCCATTCGCATCAAGAGAATCCCAACAACTCCAACATCTTTCATTTCAGGCATACTCTCTGGCCAAAATCTTGCCTGAAGATCTGTGATGTATCTGTTGATCGTGGGATTTTCAGCTATTTTCATGGCAGATTTCAATTCTGCTTGCATCATGCTTACATTCTTATATTCTTATATAACATTATGTGTGGTTTGGAACATGTTTTATTTTTCCATAATATATATATATACATTGGGAATAATAATCCCAACTGACGAACTCATATTTTTCAGAGGGGTGGCTCAACCACCAACCAGATAACATTATGTGTGTGTATGTAAATATAACATTTGTACTTTTATAATATCACGCAAAGTGTTGGGTACTACACCCCCATTCCAGTCTCCAACCTCTTCATCGGTGAGATCCACATTCTTATTGGTGGATCTATGAATTATCGTTCGAACCTATGTTCCAAACACTGATCACTGATCGTTTGATCTTCATTTTGGACTTCTTCAAGAGGGTTTGTCTGGCAATAGGGTCTCTCTAAATTCATTGGTTCACCATCCTTTCCCGACCATCAAGTGGCACTGAAAATGGGGTATATACATGTATATACGATATATATATATATTTTTACATAGATATATACACGATACAGTATACCTCATTTTTAGACACACCTGAAAATTTTCAGATTTTGTTGGTTTTGAAATGTTTTGAAAATAACACACCAACATGTCATATTTGTTGGGTCCTAGATCCCCACATTTGTGGATGAACTGCCCCGGGGACCCCTTGGGACCCTTGGCCGAGGACGTTGAAACGAAAGGTCTTCGAACATTTGAAGCTCAGCGAACTGGTGCAGCGCCTTGGATCACGACCGGTGCGAAAGGTGTCACCGAAAGAAAACAACAGGAATTTATCATGTATCACTACTTTAAGGTCAGAGGGATGTCACGAATTTCTATCTTTGTGGCTGTTGCTACTATATATATACACGTATATTATATACATACATACATTACATAGATGTTGGTTTGACCAAGCATGGGAGATTCACCTCAGATTTCAGGCTGTTTTTCGGCCAAGATGACTGGGACGCACATGGTTGCCGATTCGAGGTACGCAGCATCAACTCAGATCATTTTTCGGAAAAAGTTGGGAATACAATAAATGGACCATTGAAAGAGGTATTCCCAAATTGGGTATAAATTACATACATTTTCAGAACTATTAAACCTATATGGTCTAAATAATAAATGGAACTTGGGAGTACCATATGTAGAGAAACTTTGCAAGGTATATTATACAATAGATAAGACCATTGAGTAGATGGATACATCACTGAACGTTTACGTGGCAATGGGTCAAAACTTACAATCTTCGTATTTTTTGGTTGAACATCCACAAAAAAAAGTTATTTTGAGGCGAACAAAATGGTACAGTCACCTATCAGCGGATTTCTGAATGCGCTTGGGGCCCAAAGGATAGCCAAGTTGGTGCAAAATTCACTAAGTGAAGTCGATGGTTTGAGGTACTGTAGATATGTCGAACATTAAAAATGGGGTTTGACCAACTTATATCTGGGGAGCCCACCCTGCATTAAGAATTTGTGGGTTGTGCGATGGTCAAAAGTTACCCTCTGGTAAACTAACATACCTATGGAAAATCACCGTTTTGAATGGGAAAATCCACTATAAATGGTCATTTTCAATAGCTATGTTAAATTACCAGAGGGTAGATGATACACTGGGGATGGTCATACGACTACTGTAAGGATCCCCAATGGTGGGATGGCCATAACACATGGACGCCATGGCGATGATGACAGACTGCTGTTTGTCAGTTGAGTCCTACTCATCCCTCGCGAAACTTGAACACCCCAAATGCTGTTGGTTGTTGATTGGCAACAAACTTACCATGCAATTTGAAAGGATCTTCTTCCGGAGCATCAACATGTAATTCAAACCAACATGCATTGTTTCCGGGAACTGGCATTGACCCTTCTTTGTTCACCCCGTTAAATTGGTGCTAACACTTGAATCTGCTGGACCCAGGAATCATCAGTGGTTTTTAAACAATGGCTTTTAACGTATGGGGTACATGGGGTACCCCCAGTTTTGCATTGGTGTGTCATAAGCCTCACCCTGTAATCCCTGTATATATATAGATATCATTATATCTCTTTAAATACCATTTTCAAAATGGCCATTAGATGACTGGTTGGCGGTTTTAAACATTTTTTATTTTCCACAATATATGGGATAATCCTTCCCATTGACGAACTCCATCATTTTTCAAGATGGTTAAAACGCACCACCAACCAGATGAAGTCTTTTCCATTTTGAGACGAACCATGCCATGCTCAAGACTTGGCTAAAGCTGTTGGGGTATGGTTATCCATCCCGCAATGGGAATCCAAACGTACCCCCATAAACTCCACGCTTGAACCATGGCACATGTGGCTTGTTTTCCAGTTACCCTCTGGTAATTTAACATAGCTACGGAAAATTGCCATTGAAATAGTGGTATTTTTCCCTTAAAAAATGATGGTTTTCCATTTCGCTATGTTAGTTTACCAGAGGGTACCAAGTGGTGCCCATCCAAGCCCTTTCCACCGAGGTTGGAACTGGTTTGTGCTTCTGGAGGCCCCAAGTGACTCCCCCAAGGGTGACCCAGTAATGTTCGGAGCTATGGCTGGGTCTATCTTCCCAACAGTGAAGAGCCAGGGAGCTACGAAACGAGTTTTCCAACCACATGATAGTTATCTAGGGTTAAGAACGATAAAACGTACGCAATCTATTTGTAGGTTGCAGGGACAATCCAAAGATTTTCGAGATAGAGACAATTCAAAGTGTCCGTGGTACTCCCCCAGATGAATACACTGCAGGTCTAGTAGTCCTCGACATTTACGGTCTAAACCGTGAATTTTGGGATGGTTTATACCACCCATTTTCTGGCAAGAACATTTAATGGGTAAAGGACCCCAGCCTGCCAGCGGGGTTCTTCGAACTCGTATATTGGGGTCCATGAGCGAACAAAAATCTCGATATCATGGTCGGTCTACGACCAGGGCTGCTTACATGTCTATTCTTTCTGAGTATATTCCAAATATACATGTATATGCCCTGTAAATTTCTTGTTTCATTCATTTTGGTCGTTCAAATTCACAGTTCACAGTTATTGTTAGTTTGAAAAACATGATAAATTATGATTATAGAATTATCACAACAGCAACCCAATTCACCTTCCTATTCTCCAAATGGGTGAAACTCCCAAATATTGGCGCCGCAATGATAGCAGATTCAAGATTCGCCCTTACAATCATGGTCGTTGCTGGTTGAGATTCACCCTTGATAAGCCCAAACATGATCATCATTTTCCTAGTTGAATCCTTATTTTGATGGTAAAAGCACCATTTCTGAGGGTGAAACCACCAGTTCTATCGGCTCGGAGTGGGGGGGGTTGAATGTCCCCGTGGTCGGAGGGTTGGAAGACTCGGAAAAGCTCTCAGCGTTGAAGGGACAAGGCTCGAGCACTGTGACGTGACTGGCAGCTATGGGAGTTGTAGGGGTGACTATCCCAAAATAGACTTAGGAGATCTTTATATTGAACATTTTCTTCTAGATAGGGGGACAAGCAATTTTGAAGGTGAACAATGGTGGTTTAACTCTGAGAAACAGGGATTTAACCAGTGAATAGCGGAAACTGGGGGATACCGATTAAATGGCAATTTGAATATATAGGGAAAATTATGATAATGATGAATGAATTCACCACTGGATTTTTGGGGCACCCCATTTTTCGACAAAGCCATATCGGAGAATTTGCTAGTAAAATGAGCCGGCAATCTACAAAAAGATATGGAAGACGCAGATAAACCTGAGATTGATGGGAATTAATCGGCAAACCATGTCTTGGAACCAGCTTGGTAGCCCAAATCGAGGGCATGGACATTCATAGGATTCCAAACACATTCAGCAACCAGAACTCAGCAATCAAGTTGCATCTCAAAAAATATCGCGGTTGGTTGTATCCCCAGCATATCCCCCAAATTCCACGTTACATCTGGGCATATTATAATGACCTCACTGCGACCTCCAAGACAACAATGGTTAATAAGGGAAATCATTCCACAATAGCCTTAGTTCAGGTAAGTTTCATGCTCAGGCCTTCCCGTGGCAAACTTGAGGGGTACTGTAGAGCCTCCGAATTGAGCAATGTCGTCTGTTTGGAAAGAAATTCTGGATGAGTTTGATCTCTGGATGTCAGATGGATGTGCCTTCAAGAAATATGGCATTTTGGTTGCTGAGAATATTCTGCCTTTGAAAGATGGTTGGTTTTCTTGCTCGGTGATTGCCCCTGAGGGTATCAGCAGTTCTTGCATTGCCAGAGATTTCATGCGGTTTCATGATGACAGGCCTTCTCATGAGGCCACCATGATTTGGAATGTTGAATGGTCGCAGCCCTTGCCTGAAGTGAAGTACATGATTTGCGGTGTTGATGTCTGCCCGGATAACATCCTTGCAGATTTTGAGGTTCCGAAAAGTGCCATTCCATTGCCCTTGCTCCAAGCAAGTGTCATGCCAGTGAACGTGATTGAGCTTTTTTCAGGGGGTTTGGGAGGTTGGAAAACTGCATGTAACTTCCTGCATGAACATGAGAATGTTGCTTTCAAAGTGCTTGCCGTTGAAATTGATATCGAAGCAGCCTTCACGTATGCAGTGAGCCATTCAGTTCCTTTGATCAGTGGAAAAACGCACCTGGACCCAGCATTGGCACAGCAGCACTCACACCTTGTGGTGCATGCAGATGTAGCTGGAGATACTTGGTTGAGTCTTGGTAGTGCTTGGTGCCCAGACATTGTTGCGATTTCCTCACCATGCCCGCCTTGGAGTTCAGCAGGTTCATCCTCAGGTCTCTACTCAGAAGAAGGCCAATTGTTGATCCGATCGATTGCAATCTGCAAGTTGCTCCGTCCACGGGCAATAGCACTTGAGCAGGTAAGTGCTTTTGCGTCACATGAGCACTTTCACTACGTGGTGCAAACCTTGAGATGGGCTGGTTACCAATTATACCATGCTCAGGTCTTGGATGCATCCGACATTCTTCCCATTGCCAGGTCCAGATGGCTTGCCATTGCTTTGAGAGTGAATGATGATGGAGTGAGCCACATGCCTTTCCAGGGTTGGTACCCAGTTGAAGCTCAAGTGCCCAACACATGGGATGTCATTTTGCAAGAACAGTTTTTGCATGATGCACGTCTATACCCGAAGTCCGATGTCCTGTCCTTGTCTGCCAGACATGACCTTTTGCCTCCTGCGAAGCGCAGGGTAGTGTCCAAAGAACATGTGCTTGCTTCCAGATGCTATGACGGAACAATCAAGATCCCGACATTGATGGCATCATATGGGTCCCAACATTGTTTGTCCGACGCATGGCTCAGTGAGAAGGGATTGATGAATCATTTCTTCCGCCAAGTTGGAAAAAATCCAAGATACTGGCACCCAGTTGAATTGTGGCTGATGCATGGGGCTCATGGACAGCAGTTTTTCATGAAAGATTGGGTCAAGGCGTACAGGCATGTCGGTAATCAGATTTGCACTCCTCATGCCCTGTTGATTATCACGAACATTCTCAACTGCTTGGATAAAGTGCCACAAGGTTTTGATGCATCAGAGGTCATCCAGGACTTCATTTCCAGCAGGAACAAGGCATCCGAAATTGCTGTCACTGAAACACAGGCAGGTTTCCTTGCACACAACGCACACAAGATCCTTTCCGACGAACAGAAAAGACACATTGAGAACTTCCAGTCTGGTTTGTATGATGGAACGATCCCACACGACGTGTTTTGGAATTTGAACGGATTCCAATCTTGCAATGCCATCATACTGGACGACACAGTGGATCTTGCCCTGACTGCACCCATGCCAATTTTTGAGAAGGTCACCATTTGCACCGCTGGATTGACATTCGAAGTTTTCATCCAAGATGGAATTCCCTGCGAAATGGCCTTGCAGCTTTGGGATCATGCCTTCCAAGACTTAGAGTGCTTCGAAAAACAAGATGCAGTTGCAAAAGTTTGGGTGCCCACTGACAATTGGCAAGAGTCACATGATGCCACTCCGAACTTGTGGGTCGTCATACATGAAAAATGCTTGTACGTTGCAAAGCCATCAGAAGAAACAGTGTCATGGTTTCTGGAAAAGGGAAACGGGATCTACGTTGACACACTTGGCAACCCCATGAATTTGCCAGGTTTTGCTGGAGCTCTCACCACTGCAGGATTTAGCCTGAAGTCAATGCCCTTTGTGCCATGCAACATTGCACGCTTTGTGCTTGCCAATCAATTCTGCAGTATGCAAGTGATCAATGAACAGCACAAGTTCCAAGTCACTGCAATCATCCAGGGACCATGGGAACATCGTGTCATTGTGGCCGAATTCTGGGCGAACCTTTTCTCAAAGAATGCACTTGATGCCATTGGTGTGTCCCTCACATGCAATCACCAGAGCAACTGCACAGCATTGATTTGGACAGTCCAAGATGCCAGATGCCCATTGCCGGTGCAATCCCTTTTGATTGCCATGTTTTCCAAAGCTGGATACTGCCTTTTCTCCAAATTGCAGGACTTGACAGGGCGCCACATCAGAATCAAAGTCTTTGGTAACGTGATTTGGGAAGGTAAATTGCCGATCAAGTTTTCAGTTGCCACTTTGAAGCAATGTTTGCACGCCATCACATGTCTTGTGTCAGGGAACTTGCAGTACCGAATGATTCAAGGGGGTAAGCAACCTGCGCCAGAGTCCACGATTGAACAACTTGCCCAAGACAATCCTTCCAGCAGGCTGACATGTCACTTTGTTCTGCAGATGAATGGAGGGGGTTCCGAAAATGGAACAAAGGCAGGTCACAGGACTCAGATCAAAAATGCCATTGCAGGTGTTCTCTTGGAAGAAGGATATGACCTTGCATGGACCTCGAAGTCCGTAGACCAGATGATGACGAAAATTGGCACCAAAGAACTTTCCAAGTTTCTGCAAGTTGAGACCTCCAAGAAAGTTTTTGCAGCCATGGATTTCTTGCGTAGCTGTGACATAGACATTCCGAAGATCAACACGGCAAAATCTTCCCAAGTTGCAGCCAATGCCAAGAAGAAGAGATTCACTTCCATGCCAGATCCTGCCAATTACACAGTCTTGGATGGTGTTTTGGTGAATGAAAACGATTCCCCTTGTGCTCACATTCCCAAGTTTGGGGGTCATCAGCAGGGATATCATTTGTGCACGCCAGCAGTGGCTTTGCCATGGTTGCGTCAAGGAGACATCCTATCCAGGGACGAGTTGGCACTTTTGATTTTTGGGGATTTGCCAGTTACCACAAGATTGGCCCATGAACATGTCACTGTACCTTGCCAAGATGAAAAAGGCCGCCAGGTCTTAGTCGCCGGAGTGTTGGTTCAATGTGGTGACAAAAAGGTCAAGATTGTACAAGGTGACGGTTACAAGGTGGACACCGATGGAACCATCCTTGCAGCAGTCACTTGGAGAAAAAGTGATTGGCCACAACAATGGACCGAGATCTGTGCAAACCCATACAAATTCCTGAAGAGCTTCCCTGGAGTGTCCGATCTTTTGGTTTCTGTTTGGGGTAAAGCCTATAGACAGGGCAAAGCACAGGCCACTGCCAACAATGCCAACTCCGTACAAGTGCACTGTCTTTTCAAGGAAGATAAGTTTGCCGCTTTCCTCAAATTATCCGGATTTAACATGCTCTGGTTATCTCCCAAGACGAAGGAGGGTAAGCCACATCCGGCATGGCGCATTCTTTGGCTTGATTCCAATTTGGACATGCAGGCTGCCACTGCATTGGCAGCAAAAATCCATGACAGTGCAGGGCTTGTGTGCCTATCTGAAAGGTATGCCATCCGAGTGCCAAAGAACAGTTATGCAGAGGCATGGGCAATCATATACCCATCAATCCCAGTGCCATTGGAAATGGATACGTCCAGAATTTTCAAACTTGAGAGTCTCCCTTTTGGAGTTACATCCACTATGCTTACAGCATGGGCAGAACACATCAGTTGGCCATTGAAGCCCTTGAGGGCAGTAGGTCCGAGAGCATGGCTGATAGGAACGGGACAGGATCCCCCATCCACGCAGCTTCATTTCAACAGCTCCCCGATTCTTGCCAGAGAATTGAACAGCAAGCCGCAGGCCTTCAATAATCCAATTGTGGCTGGCCCGCGACCTTCCAAGCCAAGTCATGCAGCTGCGAATCAGGACAACTACCAACTGATCGGGGACCCCTGGGCAAACTGGACAGGTCCCAGACCAACTGCACCAGCGGCGCCCATTGCAGCTTCTACTACGATTGGCCCAACAGAGCAGCAATTTGCCCAGCAAGCTGACCGGTTGAACAAACTGGAGACAGCCATGCAAGAAATGCAAACAGGTCAGAAGAAGCAAGAGATTGTGATGGAAAAGATCCAGAAGGAGCAGGTCAATCGAGATCAAGAGGTGCGTCAACAAATTGATGACAAATTTGCCGCCATGAAACATGAGATTGACAAGACGTTCCAGAACGCTCTGAACATGCAAGCATCTCAGTTCAATGCCAACATGGAGGAGATCAAAGGTCTTCTCAGGGAAAGGCCGAAAAGGAAGTCCAAGACAGAAGGTGACCAAGATATGAGTGAATGACTAGATCCTGCAGTCAAGAGCTTTGCATTTCCTTTGCATTGTTTTGTCGCCTGGTTGGTTTGGTTCCCGGTTTTTGTCTTTTGCCAATTTTGCCAAGGAATGCAGTTGTTGAAGCGATCCAGTCCAGTCTTCTTCGCCCAGCCGGGTGTTGGCTATGAACGGGGAAGATGTTTGTACATGATGATTCTTTGCCTGATCATGTGTCACCAGCCCCATGCGCTTGCTTCCAGCATCCCGTGTGGATGGAATAGTTTTGATCATTTTTCAGATCAAGTTGCAATCTCAACTTGGCGACCAACCTTGGGTGCAGCCGAACGTTTTGGTGAAGCATATCATCCAGGGCCTGTAGACTCTTGCAATGAAATTCGATTTTGTGTGACTAATCCTACTTGTATTGCCAAGAAATCCGATACTTACAAAGATCTCATGAAAGCGTATGACATCAAAGTGTTTTCCATGTCTGAAACTGCTGCTACCGAAGTGGTTCAAAAGCATTTTGCCCATGACATGAAGAAACAAAAATGCAGAATGTTGTGGTCGCCTCCAGTGCAACCGCATTGCCAGACTTCACAAGGCCAAGCCCATCAGAGAGGCAAAGCCTCCGGTGTAGCTGCAGCTTCAGCTGTACCCATCCGCCCCATACGTAACAAGTTGCCTGATGAATGGGCAACAACCACACGTTTTGTGCATGGAGTGCTACAGCTTGGACAGTCCCACTGTCAACTTCTAGTACTTTATTGCAAACCGGTCTCCCAGACCAATGCAGTGGAATATAACAACCAATTGCTACAGCTGGCCATTCAGCAAGCCAGCCTCTTGCCGTTGCCATATATGATACTGGGTGATTTCAACATGCCTGTTGAATCCTTTGAATCTTGGCCTTTGCTTGAATCCAAGGGGTTTAGATCTCTTGATCAGTTGCACTTGCGGTTGTACTCCACTCCAATGCCAAACACTTGTAAAGGGGTTACTAAGCCTGATAATGCCATTGTCAGTCCCTTGCTAGTCCCATTTGTGTCCCGCATTCAGGTCTTGGAAGAAACATGGTTGGCCACGCACAGTCCCGTCATGTTCCAGCTGTCTTTGCCGGGTCCTGTCTTGTTTGCCAAACACATCCGTTTTCCCAAGTCTTTTGTCGAACTTGACATTGCTGACCAGCACTGGGATAACATGGTTGACGTTTCGGGGGCCTTGCAAAATGCTAGCAGCATCCAAGAATGGGGAGAAGCAGTTGAAAGCAACATCGACAAATACCTGCGTCAAGGGGTGGGTTCAGTTCCCTTTCTTAGTAAAGCTTTTCGGGGCAGATGTCAACCAGTGACTTTTGTCAAATGCCCTATTATGTCTCCCACCAAAGTTGCCAACCAAGGAAGCTTTGAGCCATCCTGTGAAGTCCTATCCATGCCCACAAGGCGTAAGGTCACCCAGGTACGTCGGCTTGAATCCTTGTGGAGACGTTTGAATAAGCTTGAAAAAGAAGGGCCAAAAAATGAAAATACAATGGCAGAACTCAAAGGTGAATGGAAGGCCATTGTGCGCTCTCAATGTTTTGGGTCACCCTTTCTGCAGTGGATTTGTTCTTGGTCTTGTTTTGACTTTCCAAGTTGGCCTCTCCCGGAAGCGTCATGGGTTTTCGAGGTTCTTCAGTTTACAAAGTATCATCTTGAAATTTCTTTGAAAGAAGATGCAAAAATTCAGAAGAATAAGCTTGAATATCTTAGATTCCTGGATGCCGCCAACCATAACAAAGCAGCTTATGCCACGGTGAGGGGCCCCGGCATGCCCCGTGTCCATGAAATTGGGCGGGTTCAAACTTGTGAAGCCATTGCAGTGCCAAGTGACGATGGTCACGAACACTCCCTCTATATGGACTCAATCGAAACGGAAAAATTCTCCATGGACTTCCCTTTGGCCATAGGTAAAGTATCTGCTGAAGTTATATCCATTGAAGAGCATCGCTTACAAGTCCGTACAAAGGAAAGTTTTCCAGAGTGGCCTGAACAAATCATGGTTAGCCAACATCAGTTTGCCATTTCGCCTGCAGACCTTGCCAAGCATCTTGACAGTTTTTGGAAGCCTATATGGAACCGTGATCATGTTTCCATGGATTTCATGCAAGCCGAATCAGACACATGTCCTTTCCATGAACTGCTGACACACATGCCTGCACACCCACAAATACAAGTTGACATGCTCAGCCGAGAGGCGTGGTCCAAAGCAGTCAAGAAACTCAAAGCTCAATCAGCCAGAGGTACTGACAAGATCAGCGCTCAAGAGTTGAAACTTTTGCCTTGGTGTTACTTGGAAAAATTGGCAGTAATCATGTCAAGCTATCCACAGGGTTTCCCAGCCAGTTTCATGCATGGCCTGATATGCCCTTTATCCAAGACCGATGAAATCCCAGAAGCAAAACAGACTCGTCCCATCACATTGTTGCCACAACTTTACAGGCTCTGGGCAGCAGTTATGACTGCGGAGATCACAAAAGTTTTGTGCACTTGGATTCCAAATGACATCACTGGTCTCTTGCCAAGGCGTGGGGCCGCCAATGCAGCCTACTTTTCCCAGTTTCATATCGAAAAAGCACGGAGGTACCATAAGAGCATCTCAGGTTTGACTTTGGACATCATTAAGTGCTTTAACTGTATTCGCTGGGACTTCGGCTTTCATGCGTTGCTTGCCCTAGGGGTGCCCAGGCAACTTTTGGTCGTTTGGATGGCTTCAATCCAAGCCCTCACTCGCCACTGGCTCCTGAACAATCAAGTCATCACTGCAGGTCAGGGATCATGCGGGTTTCCTGAGGGAGATCAATTCAGCGTCATCACCATGATTGCGGTTGCCACAGTTTGGACAACGTCCACAAGAGCTAGGTTGACCAACCCTGAAGACACCCTTTTGTCAGCATATGCCGATAACTGGTCATGGATCAATAGTACAGTCACAGAGCACTTGCCAACTCTGAGAAACACTTTGGCCATTATGGATGCGGCTGGTACCAGCATTGACTGGCAAAAAACTTGGTTTTGGTCAACCTGCAATCGGCATGCAAATGACATCCAGAACATAGTTCAGCAGTGCGTTCCAGGGCAGCAGATTCAACAAAAAAGCTCCGCCGCGGACTTGGGGTTTCAATTGCAATATAGTGGGAATAATACTTTGGGGATAACAACTACTAGATTGCAAAAAGGCTTCCAACGCCTCTTAAGATTACAGGCCATGCCCCACACACTTGTAATCAAGGAAACCATGTTGCGCACCAGTGTCTACCCAGCGGCACTGCATGGATCCGAAATCAAGCCTTTGTCAATTGACAACTTGCAGCAACTCCGCACTAGAGCGGCAAGAGCACTTTTTGGCCACAACAACAGCATGTCACCAGCATTGGCACTGTCTTGCACCAAAGGTGGTGTTCTTGACCCAGAGTACTGGATAATTGCAAAAGCACTATGCACTGCCAGGCACTTTCTTCTCAACCAGAGTCAAGAGGTGCAACATGCCTTTTTCTACATGTGCTCACGGTTTCAAGGCACTTTGCAGCAAGTATGCGGCCCTGCATCAGCCCTTGCGTTCATGCTGAGCCAACTGAGCCTTCAACTGGATGCCAATGGGTTTTTGCATGCCACAGCATTTCTCAAATTTTCAGTGCTTGGGGTTAGCCGTAAAAGACTTCTTCGGTTTCTTCAAGATGCTTGGATGGAACGACTTGTTATCATGCACACCAACAGGTTCAAGTGGTTTCAATTCCCTGACATTTCCTTGCCAGAAACTGTTCAGGTGCTTAATGGATTTGCTGACTCCAAACGATGGATGCTCATCAGAGAGATCTCAGGAGCCTACCAAGTTGCCACCCAAAAACAGAAATGGTTATCACATGCTACAGGTTTATGCCCACACTGTAACATGGAAGACAGCCGTTTTCACAGACTTATGGAATGTCCTCTGGGGTCAGACGTCCGACAGCATTACCAACCTCTCCTTGATGTTTTGATTGAAGAGGAATCACTGCTGCCGTATTACCCAGTAATCACAGTGCATCCAGACGCAGAAGCAATCACTTTGTTGCAGTTTCAGTTGCCAGAAGCAGTATGGAGTGAAAATGTTCTGCAAAAAGTCAGGGAAAAACAGGATAACAACGAAACACTCCACTGGTTCACAGATGGTTCTTGCATGCTGCCTTGTCAGGTAGGTTCCAGTTTTTCAGCATTTACAGTCATTCTTGATTTGTGCCAATCAGATGATGAACGATGCCTAGTTGCTGATCAGTTCCGTGACTCTCCAGTGAACGTGCCATCATTGCAGATAGCATGCGTGGCCAGAAGCCAAGGGGAACAGGACATTCTCCGTGCAGAAACCTGGGCCATCCTGGCCATTGCTGAAAATGTAGGGTCTGGGGTTGTTCATTCAGATAGCCAAACTGCAATTAATAACGCCCGTAAAGCCCTCACAGCTTTTTCTCCTAGTGACTTTGCCACTTGTGAACACATGGACTTGCTTTGCCGTCTCTGGCAAATTCGACATGATGTGAATCTGGAGCTTGTCAAGGTTAAAGCTCACCAATGCATCCGTACCATTCCCGACCCTTTGTTGCGGTATTGGGCTATGGGGAATGATTTTGCAGACAGTACAGCACAGCATGCATGCCTTTACATGATGCCAGATTTTGTCAGCACAATGCAGAGGAAACATGCAGAGGTTTCCAAGGATCAGAAAAACCTTGAGATCGTTTGCTGTTTACATGTGGAACTGCAAGAAGTTCGTGCCAAAGCCACGATACAAAACCCGGAAGAGAATCAGGTAGTTCAACATGATCACCGTGCCATTTGTGAAGCTTACAGTAACTGGACAATCAACAGGACTCCTTATGTTTTCCCAGAGGCAGACCTACAGTTTGTTGCAGACTGTGCATTTGGTAATGAGATTGCGCTTGAAACCTACGAATGGATGAAAAAGTTAACCTGGCCTTCCACTGATGATGGTCCTTTGGGTTTCAATACGGGGGTAACTTGGATTGAACTGGGTTTGTCATGGATGTTGCACAATAAGCGTTATATGCCAGTGCTACGAAAAGACAACTTAGGAATCATGCGCCTTCTTTACCCTGCAGACTATGTATCAGCAAAGGACAAAGGTTTTACATACGTTGAAGCTGGAACAATGATGCAACGGATCACTGACAATTTGACAAGCTTGATTCCTGGCCCAGTCTGGCCGGATGACACGCTGAGACAGAAAGTCAGTGCAATCTACAGACTTGGTGCACATCGCTTTCATCAAGGGATCAATAAACGGCCGTCATTTCCTTTTCAATCTGAAGTGGTTGACATTCTTCAGAAGTCAGTGAGCTGCGGGCAAACTGATGGACTTTCGGCAACTCCGAGTGTCGACTGTGTTCGGAGACAGGAGGAAGTGGCAAAGGGAACTTGGCAGTTTAGAGTCGATAAGGCAAAGCTGGCCATGAAAAGGGTCAGAGCCAAACGGCTCCTTTGTAGCTAGTTGCTTTTGGGACTTTTGGGACTTCGCTCGCGTTGAGTGCTGCCTTAGGCTGCGGCCCGGGGTGGTGCTCCCTTTCTTCAAGGAAATAGCCTTAGTCCAGGTTAGTGAAATACGATGATTCATCCAGACTATATATATATATGCCTGGTTGGTGGTTTGGAACATTTTTTCTTTTTCCATATATTGGGAAGAATAATCCCAACTGACTATTTTTCAGAGGGGTTGAAACCACCAACCAGATGCCCATGATCATTACATGCCCATTTCTGAACAGACCCATGTTGGGGCCCAATGTAGGTTGCAGCTTGGGTCGCAGGTAGCGGGCCCATCGAATTCTTCGTCACGGTGACGTTGGAACGAGGCCAGGGGGATAGCAGGGACAGTGGACGTTTGAGATTTCCAGGTGGTCCAAAAGGGGGAATTCATCCCAGTTGCTAAGTGAGTTATAACCCCACTTGTAAGTAGGGTAAGTGGGGTTAGTCCAGTTACAACTGGGGTCATGGCCCCACTTACTAACTGGGGTGAACCACCAAGAGAACCCCACAAGTGATTGCATTTTGACCGGGAAGATGAATGAACATGATGAGAAACCATGGTATTTTGATGTCTTGGGGGGTACCTCCTTTCACACAAACCTAATGGAGAATGCAAGCTTTTTTTTTCCCCAAACAGCTACTCCATTCGATTCTGGTGATTTGCTCTTCTTTTTGGACATTCCTTGTTACTTTTCAGGAGTGTGGCAAATTTGACTTTAGAAGTCTTCTGCAGATTTACAATGCTTTGAAATCTATTTTTTCGGCATATGCCCAGCTACTACAAAGTGGCTTGAACTATCCACATGTTTCTCTCATTTTTCAGCTTTCTGTACCATTTGCTTTCCAGCCCTAAGAGCTTCCCTTGTTTCACCCCGGGGGGCCCCGACCCTGGACGGAGGTCTCTTTGCGCCCTGGGTGCCGCTGTCCACGGGTGGCTTCGTGCGCTTCTACGACCGGACGCTGCAGCCGCTGCTGAAACCCATCCGCTCGCCCTTTCTGCAGGAGGCGGTGATGGCAACTGGGACGAGTTGAGCAATGGGGAGGTGGGGGTTAATGTAACGGGAATCACCGGAGTTACCCTCTGGTAATTTAATAGTTTGCTATTGATCATGGCCCATTTATAGTTGATTTTCCCATTTAAAATGGTGATTTTCCATGGCTATGTTAGTTTACCAGAGTTAACAAAGCAAAAATGATGATTGAAGCCAAAAAAGAAGGTGATTTTATTCCCACAACCATCCAAAATTCATCCCTTAAATCATGGCTAAAATCATTGAAACCTTCAACAGACGTACGTCCAATGTGGCTTTGGATCCAAACCCTGGTACCCGAAATATGGCAAGTCATAGCTGCCATGACTTGCCCCCAACAATCATTCAATGGATTGGTTTTCACGGGAAAATTGAAACCGGAAAACACCATATGAAAAAAGGGAAAAACCATGGTTTCCGGTGTAGATTTTCCCGACTAAACCAATCCATTGAATCATCCAACAATCATCCAACAATCATCTGGTTTTTTTCCCAAATCATCTAAACTAAACTCAAAAATCCAACATCCAGCGAAAACCCATCAAAACTCAACTTCTCCATTTTTTCAACCAAAAGATATCAGCCCAAGGACATTGACCGTGGTCGTCTCTTCTTCGCGCCCGAAGAGTTTCCGCAGTTGGCCAAGTTGCAGAGGTATTGGAAGGAGCTGCAAGAGGCAGGAACCAGATGAGATGAAGAAAATTCCCATCAAAAATGGCGGGTTTTAATGGGACAATTCCAGCCAAAAATGTGGTGGATTTTCCAGCAAGCCATGGAGCTGATTACTGGAAGGTAACCATCATTTTTGTTGGATTGTGACAATTTACAACAATCGAACATGGGGTATAGGAATTGATAAAGAAAGATAATTGATGAGAAAAACAGTGGTTCCATCCTGAAAATCATTGATTTGATGGGTTAAACATCAGCTACGTATGGATTCTAACCACTCAACATGGGGATAGAATTGATAAAATCCGCCCACACCGCTTTGGCGGTGAAGGCGTGCTTATTGGGGGGCAACAGCAACACTAAATGCTCAATGACATTTGTTAATATAGCAGTCGCTATATCAGCTTTAGGTGGGGGGGGGGGCCCAAAAACGGTTTCGCACCGAGACCAGAATACGGTGGTGTTTTCGACATTTTTCGAGGATTTTTGGGTGTCTGAGCGCAAGAGGGTATTGAAATGGAATTTTGGGTCATTTTGGTAGCTTTCCGGCAATGGAAAAACGGCCAAAAATGAAAAAAACATTGTACATAGCAAGATTTTGCAGGGTTTTTGGATGCCAGAGCATTGAAAACACTGCAAAAACAAGTGTTTTGGACTGACGTTATAGCAAAAAACGTGTAAATTACCGTATGCTTGACTGGAAACATTACAAAAACACTGTCAAAAGCAATGTTTTGGAAGGATTTACTGCCTTTATGGCAAAAAACGTGTAAATTACCGTCTGTTTGACTGGAAACATTGGAAAAACACTGTCAAAAACAATGTTTTGGAAGGATTTCTATATATATATGTTGGAGTTGGCTACCGGCATTGGAACATGGAAAAATTGAAGAAAACACTGTAAATAGCGGTATTTTCAACGGTTGGGGAGATAAGGGAATTGGAAGCATTGTCGAACATGATGTTTTCGACCGGTTTTATGGCGACAAAAGTGTAAAGTACCGTGCTTTGAAGGAAACCATTGCAAAAACATGGAAACACATTCAAAGAACACGGGATTTGGGGGACTATCTAGGCGTCGTTGTCTAGCTATTTGAAATTCCGCAGCTTGGAGAGCCTCCAAGGGAGGGAAAAGTGAAAATTCCATAGCTTGGGAAGCTGTCACGGCGGGGAAAAGTGAAAATTCCCTAGCTTGGGAAGCCCCCACGGGGGGGAAAAGTGAAAATTCCCTAGCTTGGGGAGGGGAAAAAGTGAAAATTCCCTAGCTTGGGGAGCCCTCACGGGGGGGAAAAGTGAAAATTCCCTAGCTTGGGGAGCCCCTACGGGGGGGAAAGTGAAAATTCCCTAGCTTGGGGAGCCCCCACGGGGGGGAAAAGTGAAAATTCCCCAGCTTGGGGAGCCCCCACGGGGGGGGAAAGTGAAAATTCTTAGCTTGGGGAGCCCCCACGGGGGAAAACCACCCTTAGCCCCTCTCACGGACCGAAATAAACCTGCGGTGTGGGCGGCCACCTCACGCGAAGCGGGGTGAATATGATGGATTACTTGTAGATTATATAATCATCTGGGAAATAGGTTCTTGGGATAACTTAAGACATCGGTTGGCCTCTTTGTCTGTGGCCATGTCAGGGCTATTTCTAACATATAAAGTGCTATTTCTAAAATACATAGAGCTATTTCTAAAATATCTCAATCTATTTGTAAAGAAACGCATTGGTTCTAGAATCTAGAAAGTGTAATTTTATGTGGCCACTTGCACATCACAACAACTTCAAGATTGCAAATTCACCATTGTTGTTTTTAATGTCTTGGTTTCGGGGAAATATGGTGACAAAACCGCTTTCCAAAAACCATGTGTGTTGCAAACGAAGTTTGGGATTTTTTGGTGGATGTCGCTCGGAACCGCAGCAATTCCAAAGATCAAAAAACTGAACCGTGCATATCAATAGCAATGGGTGCAATGAGCAAGGAAGAGCCTCCAAAGAAGCGTTGCTCCGAACTTTGTGGAAGTTGTTGTTTTGTTTTTTTTTTGTTTTGTTTTCGAATTTCGTGTCTGTGGTTCTCCGTGGCAGGCGCCGCCAAAATATATATGAGCATATGTGATTCTGTGTGTGGCAGGTGTGGCAAGAATATATGTGAAGTGTTGCGTGCTTGTGGGCGTGGCAGGTGTGGCCAAAATATGTGTTAAAAAAATTAGTGTTGGTGCGCGCGCGTGGCAGGTGTGGCAAGAACAATGTTTGTGTGGCAGGTCTGGCGATAAGGCATGGTGTCTCTGTGAGTGTACTTGTGGCAGGTGCAGTGATAACAATATGAGTGTATGTAAGTATGCAAACTGAGGCCGTCGTGTGGAAGGCCCTCCACAGCCACCTAAGACACAGCCACCATGGCACGTTTTCGCACTAGAGTTGGAGGATTTTGGGCCACCACTGCAGCCCGCGTCTTTTTTGTCTCGGAAACACTGTGCAAAAAAATGCGTTTGTGTTGTGTGTTTTGCGTGATAAGATATCCCAATGACCCGGTGAAACGCCACGCGCATGAGCTGTTCCAATGCAGAGTGAACAGGCTCCTGTATTGCACAATGGGCCATAAGCTTACAAAAAGGAGCATGGCTGTGTTTTGGAGATCTGGGATGTTTTTGACACTTGATCAAAAATCTAACAAAGATCTGCATGAGCTCATTGAGCTTCTGATTGAAAAGCGGGTCTTGTTCACAAACACAGACTTGAAGACTCAGTGCTGGCCACTCTGAATATGGATGGATCGGTGAGAACATGCGCGATGACAGGTGTGCTGAGAAAAAAATGCGTGTGGTTCGAATTAAAGAACAAAAAATACTTGGATGCAATCCAAAAAAAGGAAAGCAAACAAATTTCAAGTGTGTGATCAAATTCGCAAAGATTGATCTGGAGTGGATCGAGTTGGAAACAGCAAGGACAATTTGGCATTAAACCATAAGATCAAGCATCGTACTCCAGCAAACCTGCAATCTGAGAATCAAATATCAGTCCCAAAGATATCCACAGATCCTGGAGGATCCTGATATCATATTTAGATAGATAATTAATTGTGTCCAGTAGGCATTCACTGCTTGCAACTCATTCTCGTTTTCTCACGCAATTGCTTGGTGGTTGATGATCTGACGTTCAGGCGTGCTCTTTGAAATGTGTCGATCAGGATTGTGTGATGATGTTTTTTTTTTAAAGTTCCTATGTTTCTGAATACGGGGTTACAATGCAGTGGCAGACGGGTTTTGTATTCCGTACCATCCTTTCCTTTACTTATTGTTACTTTCTGTTAGTGAGCTATGGGCTATGGCCCACTAAGATTGGATATGTACTGTACTGTATTTTTCTTGTTTTCACCTGGCATGGCATGCCCATCCACTTGTGTGCGCATAGCATAGGACCATGTAGTTGGACACCGACTGCTGCACGGCCGTGGCAGGAAGTGGTTTTTCTTTTACTTTTTCAATGCATTTCAAGGGTTGGGGTGGGGTGGGGCATGTTAACGTTCCTTGTAAGTGGCACGCAACGCAACTGAAGGGTTGGGTTGGGGTGGGGTGGGGTGGGGCATGCATTAACGTTCATGTGAACTTGCGGAGAAAGAAAATGCTTCTCTGTGGCTGCCGGTAGGTGAATATATGCACGGGTGGGCTGGGGTGGGGTGGGGCATGTATTAACGTTCATGTGAACTTGCGGAGGACGAACATGCTTCTCTGTGGCTACTGTACGTTCTCTGGAACCTTCCATGCATGCGTCATGCTACGCTACTGTAAGTTCTCTGGAACTTTCCACTCATACATACGGTATATACGTCATGCCACGCTATTGTAAGTTCTCTGGGACCTTCCATGCATACGTCATGCTACGCGACTGTAAGTTCTCTCGAACTTTCCACTCATGCGTCATGCTACGCTAGTGTAAGTTCTCTGGAACTTTCCACTCATGCGTCATGCCACGCTATTGTAAGTTCTCTGGAACTTTCCACTAATACGTCATGCTACGTTACTGTAAGCTCTCTTTTACCTTCCACTCACACGTCGTGCCACGCTATTGTAAGTTCTCTGGAACCTTCCATGCATGTGCATGCTACGCTGCTGTATCGGGATTAAGAACATGTAGTTATGATTGCACATGAAGTGGATGCTACGGGTGGGTAGGTGGGGACGTTAACCAGATATCTTAGCTGCAGCTGCTGACGATCTATATGATGTTGACGATCTATATGGTGTTGAGGATGCTGATGATGATGATGATGATGTGATGATGTGATGATGATGATGATGATGATGATCATGATGATCATGATCATGATGATGATGATGATGATGATATGATGATGACAGTGCAAATAAAACAAGTAGTTTTCTGAAACGACGATGATGCATTTTCACATGCTGGATGTGCAAAAATATTGTTTCGCTATAGCGGCGTGCTTATTTTCTATTCACACCATGGACATTTTTACCACGGCCGCGAAACAATCGTAAACCATGTAGTTGCCAGTGTCATTGCCAGCCAGCAACAAAGATCCATGACCCAGCTATCATTTGTTGTGAGGCACCAGTCAAAAGGTCAGCCTTTCTTGTTCAGTTCATGTGACCTTTTTGGATGATGACATATTGGGCACATGACCGCATGGCCCTGGATTGCTCATTAACCCTTTAGTTGGTTCTTATGATGGGGCTTTTCTTGGGCTGTCCCAAGTCCGTCGTTGGGCCGTTGGGTCTTCCGTGAGGCCGTAAAAGAAAAAAAGAAACAAAACTAATTCTAAATCAATCCAGGACTATTTCTAAATCAGTCCAGGACTATTTCTAAAATCAAACCAGTACAATACTGTTTCTAAATCAGAGCAGGAAGATTTCTCAACCATTAGCCAGCCAGACCATTCCCAAAGCCCAACCAGCCAGGATGGTGCACGTCGAGCTGAAATTGTGAGCTTGGCGAAGAAGATAAAACGGGATTTGAGGATGGGGAAGGCAAATGGGCCAATGGTTTTTTCAAAGCACCATGACTTGTCTGGCCTCGGCCTCAATGGCCGAGAGATTGAAGCGTTGGATCTGAACCATGCTTCACTTGAAGTGGCTTGGTTCAACCGTCTTCTTGGCAGCGGTTGTCAGTTCACTTTTTCAATTATTGTTATTGATCAATCATTGAGCCATTGATGATGAATTATTTATGTTTGTTGTTCTCATATTTTTAAACTATATTTTTATATATTATATTTTATGTTTTTGATGTATTTTGTATGTAGGCACTTTGGGACGTGCCAGAAGCCGCTCTAAACCATTGAGAGCCGTTTCAAAGACATCTGCGAGGAATGGCTCTGAACCGCTCTGAACCGTTTAGTTCTTTCTCTCATTGCCCAAACACGGTTCCAAAATCCGTGAAATTTAGAAACCGCTCTAAACCGCTCTAAGCCGCTCCGGACTGATTGGGAAAATGGCAGGCGATAACTAGAAATAGAACTAAACCGTTTAGAGCCGCTTGGCGCTATTTCTTACTTGATTTTATACAAAGCTCTGAACCGCTTAGAGCCGTTTAGCGCTATTTCTAAAACAACCTCCCATAGATAGCTCTGAACCGTTCAGAGCCGCTTCTCACTACCTCACATCACATATCATATCATCATCATACCAGAGCATTGTATATAACATACATTAATCATAACATGTTCTTTATCATGTAATGCTGTAATAGTAATAGCAATAGTAATGGCAATAGTAATGGCAATAGTAATAGTAATAGTCATAATTTCATAAGATACCATAACATAAGATGACTTCGCACAAGAGAGCATAGCATAACATACTTTAGCAAATCATCATTTACAAAGAATCCAGTTGTGGGCCTTGACAACGCATGTTTCCGAGATGTTTCAGTGAACTCTTGATTCAGCAATCACCAGCCCCCAAGCAGCAATGAAACAGTGGCACTGCTGTTATCATTTTGATCATCAACATGAGCATCACCAGGTTCATCCTGTTCATCATCACTGCCGCCATCATCATCATCATCCTCATCATCATCATCATCATCATCATCATCATCATCATCATCCATCATGGTGTAGTTTACACAAACCGCTTGCTTAGGTGTCTGTTGGCGACCCTATCACGAAGCAGTGCTTTACTGATGTGGCGCGTCAATCACTCAGAGGATTGCCGGCAGGCACAATGCGCGTGTTAGGCTTTGTTTTGGCCGAGCGTGCTGAGCGCGTGCTAGGGTTTGTTTTGGCCGAGCGCGCTGAGCGCGTGTTAGGGTTTGTGGAAAGGCAAAACAGGTGTAAAGCAATATTATGTTCTGAACTTCAAAGCATCTCTGCAATACTTTCCTTTTGCAAAGAAAATGTTTCAGGTTTTGGTTTTAAGCTGTATGGACGAGCGCGCCGAGCGCGCCGAGCGCGCGTTAGGGTTTGTAGAAAGCAGGAGGCAGAGACAAGTTTGGATGTTGCAATGATCCTTTGAAGTTAAGATTGCTTTTGGGCTTGTTTGCTTTTCGTGAGACACTAACACGCACGCTCGGCGCGCTCGGCGCGCGCTCGTGGACGAGCGCGCCGAGCACGTGTTGGAATTTGTGAAATGCACAAGACCAACAGCAAGTCACATTCTGACCTTCAAAGGATCTCTGGAACATTCTGCTTATGCAGAATATGCAAAAGCAAGCTTAGGGGTTTGGGTTTAGGGTTTGTGGTCGAGCGCGCCGAGCGCGCGTTAGGGTTTCTGAAAAAGTAAAAAGCCAAGAGCAAGCTTGATTTTTAAAGGATCTTTGCAACACTCTAGTTATGTAAAATATGCAAAAAGCAAGCTTTGCAACACTCTAGTTATGTAAAATATGCACCAAGAAAGCTTAGGGTTTTGGGGTTAGGGTTTGTGGACGAGCGCGCTGAGCGCGTGTTAGGGATGTTATAGGGTTTGTTTTGGCCGAGCGCGCTGAGCGCGTGCTAGGGTTTGTTTTGGCCGAGCGCACTGAGCGCCTGTTAGGGTTTGTGGAAAAGCAAAACAGGTGTAAAGCAATATTATGTCCTGACCTTCAAAGCATCTCTGCAATACTTTCCTTTTGCTCAGTAAATGTTTCAGGTTTTGGTTTTAAGCTGTATGGACGAGCGCGCCGAGCGCGCCGAGCGCGCCGAGCGCGCCGAGCGCGCGTTAGGGTTTGTAGAAAAAGCATGAGGCAGAGACAAGTTTGGATGTTGCAATGATCCTTTGAAGTTAAGACTTGCTTTTGGGCTTGTTTGCTTTTCGTGAAACACTAACACGCGCTTGGCGCGCTCGGCGCGCTCGTGGCAGTTTTAGTTTTGTGGACGAGCGCGCCGAGCGCGTGTTGGAATTTGTGAAAAGCACAAGATCTGATGGTTTGATGCGACCTTGGTGATATGATATCACTTTTGCGCGACATCACAGTATGGGTGCATCACTTCATGTTTTCATTTGCATACCATCACATACAACACACCCCATTTGACATTTGTATACATTGGGGACCACGTTCTGGTGGCATGTCAGCTCACCCAGGCTTCTATGCCACAGCTGTCAAGTACATGGCCGGCTTTGGCATGGGGAAGCAGGATCTTCCAAAGCTCTTGGCTGGGAAGGTGGATGAGTGGCTTCAAAAAGCCTCCAAAGATGAGAAGACGGAGAAACCCGTGGCTGCCAAGAAGCGGAAGACTGAGAAAAAAGAGAAAAAGGATGGTCAGGCCAACAGAGCCAAAAAATGGGGTGTGTAGATGTAGGGTGGAGGCGGAGACCACCATGAATTGATTGGGAAATAAATTCAGCCATCTTCAATTTGAATTTCTGAAAATCAGTTAGGGAAATGACTCCTTTCTAAAGATCCCGTAAATTCGATATGGTGGGCTCATTTTGGCTTCTTGCCACAGTGTGAACACTGTGGGATTTACCATGCGCAGTTGGGCAAAAAAAAGGCCGCAGCCTGATGTGATCATATCTCAGTGTGTAGGGAATCTCATTTAGTGATATAAAGTTATATAAGTCATATTAGGGTATATATATATACATATTTTAGGAATGGTCCTGAACACATTTAGAAATAGCCCTTGAAGTTTTAGAAACAGTTCTGCCAAATTGACAGAAATACCATTTAAAGAGGCCAAGGGACCTCTTAAGGGATAACCATTAAGCATGAACTAATTTGAATCTCAATGGGTTCATGACATAAAGTGGACACAGAAAATTGTGGACATTTGACGATCAAGTCAAGAGCCGACTATTGTCAAATATGATCAGTAAGTCACACATCTTTGGTAATTACCATCTGGTTATTTAACATAGCCACGCAAAATCAGCATTTTAAATAGATAAACCATCATAAACCATCTATTTCTATGGGCTATGGCTTCCATGGCAAACTGTTAAATAACCAGAGGGTACATAATAGGATGACCTGGCAGTTATCATCGATATTATTGTTGGTGGGAGTAGTACTAGAAACTACACATGGATAGTGATTAGCAGAAATTCGTCTTCCATTAACACATCTATTCTCATGCATTCCACAACACTTCAATTATTACCGGTAATGATATTTTGGTATTACCCCAAATCTCGTTAAGCATACAGTTTTACTACCAACAATCACCGTTGATGGTTTTATGATCAGTAACTATATATATATTGACATTACAAAAGCCTACATATATGATATCTTACTTGTTGTATTATATCATCAATATATCATAATATATCCACTCATTCTTTATCTGGATGAATTACAACGACCTCACGTTGTGGTCACGTCACTGGCATCATAGTGAATGTCACTGGGGAATTATCCCGGTAAACGGTAATCCAGTGATTTTCCCAATTGTTTGTCCTTATGTTCGGAAATATTGATATTGCAGATTGAGATTCAACATATTGATTTATCTTGGTTTATTATACATAATATCAATATCTCATATATAACTTCCATTATATAATAGCAAGAATAGATAGATAGATAGATAGATAGATAGATAGATAGATAGATAGATATATAGATAGATAGATATATATATTTTAACGTAAGTTACAATTTTGGACGTCCCCTTAGTTTTTTGTTTTGAAAAAAAACCAGGGGACCTTGTGAAAACATTTCTTACATCCCCCTCCTAGCAAGTACGTCTAACATGTAGCTTACATTTAGGGTACATCCCCCTCTCTGAAAAGGGTAGTGATGATATAATCCATGGATATCACAGATAGACCGAAAGCAATGCCAGGAATACCTTCAGCTGTGGCAGACTCACCGCGAGAAGTTCAAGGTCTTCGAGGGACAGGCGTCGCCAAACCGCCAGGGGTGAACTACCGAGATGAGCAGCGGAGAGAAAACCCCGATGATGTTTAATTAAACCACAACTATGATAACTGTGTGAATTGTTCAACTATGGTTACTTATTGTATAACTATAGTATAACTATAGTATACTGTGTGAATTAAACGATGGTTGCTTATTGTATAACTATAGTATACTGTAATGAATATTATTATAAGTATTGATTGTTTTTCATACATATATATATATACAAACAGCGCTATAGCAGTTTTTCACCATGGCAGGCCACTTGGAGTTCATCGTATCCCTTCTCGCCGTTGTGCCGTAAAGATTTACCCCGTGGTAAACGTACAAAAACATATGGAAACCCCATTGTTTCCCGGAAAAGGTTCTACATATTTCCACATATAGGGAAACCATCCCCTTTTATGGCCGAACAATTCAGATTAGTGAAATCTTATTTACCCAGTCTATGTTAGCTTGACGAAAAATGTCTTTTGTTTTGTAGAGCGAGGATTCTCTGGGAGGCTGTTGGACCCCCAAGTGGACAGTTTGAACCATCCATTTTTGGGTACTCCGATTCTGACGATAGCCACAGTCCTTGAACTGACCAACACAATCCACGCAAACCCATGATGATTCTGAGGGCGTTTGGAAGCCATTGTATTTACTTTTCATTCAAATCAATAAGTTAGTTACATCATAACGACATTAACATCATAGTTTTTACTAGGTTACTTACATCATTGTATTTACCCTCTGGTAAACATACAAAAAACTATGGACAATCTCCATTTTTCATGGTAAAACTCGACTATTTCTATGGCCATGGCTTCATCCAACTAGCATTAACCGCAGTCGCGGATCAGTGCATGAATCATGGCTGGTAGCCGCAACCAGCGGTGGATCACAGGATGAGGGAGTCTAGCTGCCGTTATGGGTCATGTCTCAACATCGAGCATTTCAAGTGAATGGTTCTGGATGATGATGATGATGATGATGGTGATGGTGATGGTGATGATGATGATGATGATGATGTGGTTGGCAATGGTTAATACTGGTCAATACTGGCTATTAATGGTTATCAATGGTTAATGGTTAATGGTGGTGATGATGATGATGGTGATGGTGACGATGACGACATTGAACTATAAATAGATAAGCTATGGATGCATAGGGTAAAGTTGGGGAGTAATTGGACCCACAAAAAAACCACTTGGCCAAACTGTCTGGTCTGCGCCCTGGCCCTGTTCGCCAGGTGGGCTGGTTGTCCTTTCCGCTGAAGCTCTGGGGCTTCGAAATCCCCGAGCATTTAAAGTGGGCACCGAAGGCTGCCGCAGCTCAGTGAGAATTTCTGTGGTATTCTGTGATGTCACGTGAATTGTTGTGTTTTTTACTAGGTAAAGTATGGTTTCCTGATGTTTTACAGTTTTTTTTTCATGTTTTTTTCCATGTGATGGTTGGATTTTCTTTCATGGACAAGACTTGGGTTAGATCATTTTCAGATCTTGGGGGATGATCATTCCAAATGTGGCTTACAAAAAACTTGGGGGTGCAGTTCCAGCTACAAATGGATATGTTGTAAATTATATATATAACCATAAATTAAATGGTCATATTGTATATATCATATATCTGTATATATATATATCATTATATATCATATATCACCTGGTTGGCGCTTTGGAACATGAATGGATTATGACTTTCCATATATTGGGAAGAATAATCACCCCAACTGACTGACTTTCATATTTTTTTCGGGGGTTGAAACCACCAACCAGTATATCACATATATATATATGTCTACATCTAACCATAATGCCAATACTTATACCAATTTGGAATGGAATTCCCATCATGGGATGGATAACCATACCCCGTGATCCACCATGTACCTGGACCAAGTCACATGTCGACATGTTGTGTTTGATGTTCATATCCCGTAAATTTTCCATCTTGTTGCGTCCCATTTTTATGTGTCATACAATTCGTTGGATGTATACTGCCCAAGTATTTAATTGCCGCAAGCCCGCCGGCCATAGAGAGGTGGCCCCAAGGGAGTTTGATGTGCATTCTAGGTGGAAGCCCGCGAGAGAGCAGACGAGAAAAGAAGGAGAAGGAGAAGAAGCAGAAGAAGAATAAGAAGAATAAGAAGAATAAGAAGAATAAGAAAGGAAGACGAAGACAAAGCCGTAAAACGGAAGCGGCTTGTGTAGCAAGGTTTGCTGTAACAACCGATTGACCGTATACCAAATTAGTACCGCCCCCAGCAAAGTAGCGCCAGGTACTATGTATGAGCCTCTGGCTCGACAGCAGACCGCTGCATGGAAGGAGACAGGGGAGAGAGTTTGCCCCAAGGGAGCTTGACGTGCACGCTAGGTCTAGGTAGAAGCCTGAGAGAAGAAGAGACGAAGACAGAGCCGTAGATCAGAAACAGCTTGAGTAGCAAGTGCGTGCTTGAACAACCAATGGAACGCATACCAAATGAGTACTGGTCGATCAGTACCGTGTGCGTCCTGTGACGAGTACCTGTAGACGAAGGTAATGCTGTAGGCAATGTCATTAGCTACCGGCACTACCAGTGAAGTATTTGGGGAAGAAGGGAGGAAGGAGTAGAGGAGTAGAGGCGTCGGAGTAGGAGTGGGAGGAGTCGGAGGATTAGGGGTAGGAGTAGGAGGAGGAGTAGGAGGAGTAGGAGGAGGAGGAGTAGTAGTAGTAGTAGCAGCAGCAGCAGCAGTAGTAGTACTAGTGCTAGTACTAACTAGTGCTAGTAATACTATACTTGTACTTGGAAGGGGGGGGTGACTTTGATTTAGACGAAGCAAAAACGCGCAGCATGAGAACAAAGGAACAAACACAAACCAAGAACAGAAACAAGAACAACACCTTCCAATCAGACACGCCGGCAGGCCGGCGGATTGGATATCTTTTCATCTTTGGCTTGTGACATCCCCATCATTGTTAATTCTGGGTTCATTTATTGCTTAGTTTACATCCCTGTTGTCGGATCTGCCACCATTGTTTTTGCCAGTGACCTATTCCATTCTTCGATGCTAAATCATTGTTTGGTCGGTGACAAAAGTGGAATGGGGGAAATGTGCACCAAGAAACATGTGATGGATAACTTCAACCTTGGCCTTTCCAGCTTAAGCCTCAATTTTTGATCAAATCCAATGATCGATTTTTTTGTTTTGAGTTACTCCAGGCAAATTAATATAGTGGAGAACCCACCATGAATGTAGATCATTTCTGGAACGAATTCCCATTTTCCATAATTTTGCACGTTTACCCTGGGACAAATGAACTATTTCAAACACTGTGGTTGATTGGCTATTGTAGGGAATTATACTCCCTGTGTTATTGGGGACTATGAACTAACCCATAGTAGGGAAACCGTTTTCAGCCAAGCAGTAGAGGGAAATTATTGATTATTCACATCTCTCTTAGTTTACCCTGGGTAGTAAATGTCTTGACTTCCCTTGTGTTTGACTGTGAAACCAGTCTCGGTGGGGTTGTCAGTGGTCGTTTTTGATCGTCACCCAGGAAGCAATGCAAAACTCTGGGGTGGAGGCGCTGACCACCTTCTGCTATAGCGCCTTGAAACACAGCGCCAGTGGGGAGATGCAATCAGCCAAGATGGGGACAGAATGGTGATACACCTTGGGATATGGGAATGTAACCAACAAGAACAAGGATTTAAGACGAACCAATATTAGAGGATATTATGGGGGGGTTGACAACCCAAATGACAATTAGAATGGGGTACCCTGTTTTCGGGCAAACTCATATTTTGGGGGCACTTATCAGAAATTTGGACCGGACCAACAGAATGGGTAGGGTTCAACCACAAAAAATCAGAAATGTGGGAATTCACCCGGATTTCACCAACACAACTTGGGGTTTGAGCAGCACGCATATGATTTAGCACATCTAGCACAACAAAAATGAGGTTTCAACCAACAAGACTTAGAACTTTATCTGTCGACTTGACGCAACTCAATCTAAAACAGCTAAACTCGAATCTACTCAATTCAACTCAATTGATGTGGTAAAACCAATACTGAACCATCCCCAATTTTACCAGAAACGGGTGGGTATCACCAAACTTGAGGGTTTATTATTTGGTTGACCACATTAAACTCAATTCAAATACCCTCTGGTAATTTCACATAGCTATTGAAAATGGCCATAGAAATACCAGAGGGTATACTCAAAGATCCTTCCTGGCACATCTACCCTCTGGTAATTTAACATAGCCGTGGAAGATGACCCATTCAGTTCCAGGATTTTCCCATCGAACCCATTGATATAATCCATTATCAACGAATTTTAATCATTATTACCCCTGAACTAAATGCACATATCAGATATTCACCAATGATTAACCATTATCAACAAATTTTAATTATTAACCAGTATCAAACAATATCAACCACAGTTAGCCATTATCAAACACGATTAGTGACACTACATATTATATAAGCATTCTCAACCACTATTACCCTCTGGTAAACTAACATAACTATGAAAAATCACCATGAAAAATCACAATGTTTTATGGGTAAATCCACTATTTCAATGGGCCATAGAAATAGTTGATTTACCCATTAAAAATGGTGATTTTCCGTAGCTTTTTGTATGTTTACCAGAGGGTAACCACTATCGGCGCCCCCGAGGTGTCCTGGAACCAGGCTGCCACATCCGACCGCATCGAGAACATGCGGCTTGGACGGCGTGGACGCAACGCAGAGAACGGGGAAACCCGAAACGGGGCTGGGAAAAAGCGATGGGTTGGGGGGTTAAGGATGGTGGTTTCTGATGGTGGTTTCTCAAGGGGTTAATGATGGTTAGTGATGGTTAATGATAATTAACATAGACCCTGAAAATCACCAATTCTTAGTGGAAACTAATTTTTTGGACCCCTATCTGGCAGGGTCTATGTTAATTTACCAGAGGGTAAGTTGGAAACAAATGGGAGAGATAGGGGGATATACTGGGATATACTGGGAAATGATGGGATATGATAGAAATTATAGAACTATATAAATGGGCCATTTTCCATAGCTATGTTAAAGAACCAGAGGAGAAGTTAGTAACTAATGGGGATATGATATGTGAAAGCATAGTAACTTAGTAACTTCCTGAAATGTGGGAACATAGTAACTAATAGGGCTATGATGCGGATATAATGGGCATACCATGGGGGATGTGATGACGATATTTTTTCGGATATTTTTTGAATAATCATCAGCACTTTCGCATCAGAGGACTGAAGATAGCACTGTGATATCCCCATTTGAAACCATGATATATATATAATATATATATTATATATATATTATATTATATATATATTTCTACACACCATTTAAAACCGTTATATACACCATTTAAAACCCTGATATACACCATTTAAAATCATCAGAGTTGTCACTGTGATTCACACGCAGTCACAAAGCCAACTCTCAAAACCAATGGATTACTGTACCATCTGGGAAAATAGTGACTAGTAGGGATATAATGGGGATATTATGGGAGTAGAATGAGGATGCAATTAGTGGGGATGTGATGAGGACATAATTAGTGGGGATGGGGATATATTCATGGGGATGTAAGGGAACATAATTGGAATCTAAGGGGTTGCTGCAGAATTTTCCTCACAAACATCAAGAAATCCCGCCAGTTTTCGGCAGTCTTTTTCTTTTTTTCTGCGACAAAATGGATCTGAAAATAGGGTACCCCACAATTGTGCCACACTTTGATGCTTAATCATCATTTCCCCAAGCAAAAATGACAAATTTTATGGTAGAGCCTATTTTCACACACCCAACTATCATACTATCATATCCAGTTGGTTATATTCACACTACGTCCCCATAGTTGTTGGTTGAACCTCTAGTTATATCATCACATGTCACCATGTCCCCATGCTTCACCTATGATTCATATCCCCATTCTATCCCCATACTTGGACGTTTATTCCACCAAGGGCTTGTTATATCCCCAAGTTTCCTCTCTATCTTCACAAAAATAGAGACATATTGTTCAAACATAGATGAACTACAGATAAAGATATACACTCAGTGTCTTTTTTAATGGGGTGTATATCATTTAAAACCATGTTCTGCCATGATATCCCCATGTAAAACCATGATATACACCATTTAATGGGGATATACCCTCTGGTAAACATACAAAAAACGATGAAACATCACAATTTTCAATGGGTAAATCCACGGTTTCGACTGGGCCATTTACCAGAGGGTAATATTTCCCAATGTTTTGAACCATGGCGTATCATTCCCCCTGACCCAAGCCCCGACCGAGGTGGGTACTTCCGGCGTCCGCGCCCACCTGGGTCTGCAGATTCCTCTCATGTGCGCCGTGCGCGTGGGCGCCAATGCGCTCACGTGGCGCGAAGGGCAGTGGACTTTGTTCAATGGAGTTTTGGCAGAAATGATGGGATTTGAGCATGAAAAAATGGGGTAAAAATGGTGATTGAAGCATCAACCATGGCGGAAATCTGGGGATTTCACCAATCAAAATGGGACATGATCGACCTTGTGTGATATCAATCTTTGGATCGACCTTGGATGGATAGTTTTATTTGCAAACTAATCTACCGGTAAATGGTGTTATTCTGGGGCTCTCTACTGGATAAATCTGGTGAAATGGTGGATGTTCCACACACTTTTTGGGGTCCAAAATATGATGTTCTCCAGGTTTATGTTCAACCATCCAAGGGCAGATGCGTACGTACCCTCTGGTAATGTGTTGCATAGCTATTGAAAATGGACCATTTGTAGTACCCATTAAAGATGGTGATTTTCCAGTTCGCAAACTGTTCGTTTACTAGGCCGGGTATGTCCATGAAATAAACCCTACTCAAAACCAGTTATACACCAACTTAGTCTAGGGGTCCCCTTCCTGCAACCGGCTGAAATTGTTCATTTTTTGAGTCCAAAAAGTGTGGGGATATCTCATTTTTATAACAATTTTGATCGGGAAAATCATCACATTTACCAGTGGAACTGAAGATTACCAAGCTTTTCTTGACGAACCCAGTGAGTACCCTCTGAAAATGTCATGTCTGGCAGCAGACGTGACCAGCGTCATGGGTGCGGACTGGCGATTGGACTGGTCGGCTGTTGGTTAATTTCGGAGTCACTTTGATGAACACATATTTTATATCCAGATATATCCAGATGCTTTTTTGTTTGGAAGGGCGTCTACCCTCTGGTAAACTAACATAGCTATTGAAAATGGTGATTTATAGTGGATTTCCCCATTAAAAATAGGGATTTTCCATCGTTTTTTGTATGTTTACCAGAGGGTATATAGTATAGGTTGAACCATGATTTCGTGTTGATTATCCAGCTAAGTTCGGGTGTGTGATTGGAATTAGGTTGTGTAGTTTCAACCATCCCGCGTTTTGAATTATTTGGGGTCCTTTATATCTATATTACCCTCTGGTTATTTAACGTAGCTATGGAAAATGACCCATAGAAATAGATGGTTTTCCCAGCTAGAAACCTCCATTTATAATGGATTTTCCATGGCTATGTTAGTCATAACCAGATGGTAAATCCAAAGTAAGTGTATACAAATCATAAGCCGCCATGGGGTGGCGATTATTACTGTGGGATGAGCCTGGCACCGGATCAATGTGGATCTACCCTGTCAGAACGAAGTATGGTAGAGTTCCCTGTTGAAGGGCCCAGAAAACAAACCACAACTCCTGCTCTTTTCAAGTGATAGTCACGTATACTTTGCAGGGAGATTTGTGTTTTATAACCAGGTGAAGCAACGTCATTTGAGGTGATTGCGCGGTTTGGGGTATAACTTCTGAGATGTCGTGTTGTTTCGAACATCAACTGTGAAACCACCATGAAGTGTCATGACCTGTCTGTGTGTGCACATTCTTCGGGTCAAGAGTCCTGACGGGTCTTCAATTTTGAATTGGTTGAACCAGTTGAACCAGTTGAACCTCAATTTCTGTGTGTTAAATCCCCATTTAGTTGGTTCAAATTACAAGTGTTCTGGCGTAAATCCAACTTTTTTGCCGGTTCAAATCCCCACTTCTTTACAGCCCCCACTTCTTTACGGTAAAATGACAATTTCTCTAGGTCAAACATGTTTCTTGGTGAAATCCGAATTTTCCGGAGATGTTTGGTATTAATTGGGATTATCCCACAACAAATTATTATGATCCATCCTTACATCCCCCTAATCAACTCTAGTTAAGCAAGTTATAAACCAACTTAGCTACCATAAATCAGCTATAATTTCCATAGAATCCCCATAATTTTGTTGGTAAAATCACCATTTTCCCTATGGTTTCCTATGGTTTCCTATGGTTTCTCCTCCACATCTCACCAGGGGTCCCCACCTTCCCCACCAAGGCGACCGCAGCCACGAAGTGCTGAACGCCTCGTCGTCACCCCGCGCGGTGCTGTTGATCGACTTCGGGGGGCCGGTGCCATGGTGAAAGCTTAAGGTTTGGTGCTTGAATCCCAACATATCCCAACATATCCAACTGATTAATATAATCTGATTATAGTTTCATAGTTATAGGCAATTATAGGCAATATATATATATATCAATGATTAATATCCAACTATATCATATGATATATAACATATATATATAGTATAATATGTATGATTATATATATATATTATATATATATTCTGGTTGGTGGTTTGGAACATTTTTTAACTTTCCATATATTGGGAATAATCATCCCAACTGACTTTCATATTTTTCAGAGGGGTGGCTCAACCACCAACCAGAATCAAAAATGGGAATATCATTAAACACAGCCTTGCACAGTATAATATGTATGATTACATATTATATATACACATATCTATTATATATATACATATAATGTCTATCTACGATTATAGTAACATGAAACTCAGCCATTTCTCCCCACCTCCCAAAAAAGGTGCTCCAACCGCGCCGTTGGCCCACCTGGATTCGCGAGAGCATGACGGAGGCCGGCGTGATCTTCGACGAGGCCGAGGGATTTTTGTTGGGTCTTTTGGTAGTCCCACATTTATTGGGAAAACATCATAGATTTGTTGTAAGTATATACATGTTGTATCATAGAAGTCACCGGTTAGTACTGTAAGTCCAAGATTTATTAAAATACATGTTGGACTTTAATAGAGACACTATACAACATAGACAATCATATATCCCTTGATATATATATTTTTTAAATATGATTTATATACTTTGGGTAGTCCAACATCATGGATTTGTCGTAAGTATATACAGTTTAGAAAAGATGTCACCGGTTAGTACTGTAAGTCGGCAATAATTCAGGATTTCTGAATTTGAAACTGGCATGATGGTTGACTTTAAGCAAGTGAAAAGGGAATTGAAACAACAAAAATAGGGATCTTACCCAGTGAAAGTTGGGATTGGAAGCTTCACCAGCCAATCTGTATATCGGTTTTTAGCTCAGTAAGTCCAAGCAAAGATGGTGGTCCAGTGGCTTCACCAAAAGGCAACGTTTCCCCCATAGAAAAAGCCCATGCTTCTTGGAATAACCCCTTCCTCTATGGGACTCCAAAATGAACACTTCCAGTACACACCACGTAATCTCAATCCGTTTGGAGAAATGTGGGTTTGTCTGAAAATAGGGTATATTCCCAATGAAATAGCCATTTAAAAACGGGATAATGATCATTAACCATTGGTTTATGGGTACACTATTTTCAGACAAACCCATGTCTGGCTCCTTGTTGGTTTGCATCTCCACTTTGCCTGTTTCTTTCGGTTTATTGGGCACAGCATTCTGGCTATACTTCATGAGTTGGTCCCATTTGGGCAAACCGTCAAACCTTAGTTAGAAACATGGGGTAAATGAGGCAGAAATGATAGATGTTCATCGCGATGGCGGGGGGATGATATACACTGATTGCTCCGACCATCATTTTATTCACTGATTCAACCAATTAAGATCTTGTATCCCGTCTCACAAGACAACAAGTTGATCTCAACACGTATATATATATAAACCGGCAAACAAGGGGGAAGGGAAAAGAACCAATTTTGACTACACATACCCATATAATGTATGTATAGATTTCTATCTCACCTCTCATGTATTGTTGGTGTACACAATACACACACATATATATATATATACATAGATAATCACTCACTCTCTCTCTCTATCTCTCTCTCTCTGTCTCTTCACACACATATATATATCCAGATCTTATACATCCAGATCTTATATATCTACACAGATGACCTGGTCAAATTAGCTTGGTTCTGATTGATCTAGCCATAAGTTATCCACAAGCAAATTATCTACAAGTCGTCCGGATATGTTTATGAGTGTTTGTAGGGGTAACTATTCCAAAATGGCCTGAGTTCTGATTAGGGAATCATTTCACCTTTGTCCAGATACATGGGTTATTGAGACCACTTCATGATTAACTGCACATCCAAGTTGAGGTATGCGTCAAGGCTTTGGTTAGCCATAGAATTACATAATTCACTAATCAAGCACATGAGCACTGTTCAAAAGCCCTGTTGCTTGATCATTATATAGATTTATACTGTCCAATATATTGGGGATTGTCACAGTTTATGAACTGGGAAATCCATTCTTAACCAGCCATTCTATGATTTACTCATGAAGCGGATGTTTATGACATATTTCAATCTTCTTGGAGGTGCAGTTCCAGTTATAAGTCGATATATATATAACCATAGTTATAGTGGATATATATATAACCATAGTTATAGTATATATATAACCATAGTTATAGTTATATAACCATAGTTATAGTTATAGTTATAGTTATAGGGTTTTAAACATCGGTTGTAGCTATATCTGTAACCTCAGCTGCACTAAGTTCTGTGCCATGATCAAACGTCATTGCCGCAGGATGACGCAGATACCTCCACACCACCCGCAGTGCCCGGTGCTGTCTTGGCCGAAGGTATACCTAGTGCCTAGGTGTTGGAGAATTTCCCCGTTTGAATGGGATTTAGTGGGATTTACCCTCTGGTAAACGTTTACATAACTATGGAAAATCACAATTTTTAATGGGCAAATAAACTATTTCTATGGCTATCTATACCATAGCTATTTTGACATAACCAGAGGGTAGCGAAGTTTTTGGGGGTATACCATCCCCTGACCAACAGATACCCTACCAAATATGGGTTGGACCAGTAGTTTCCACCAAACATTGGCTATTTTCAGGGTCTTTGTCACTTTTGGAGGGGAGCAACAGGGATATTATTTCCATTGGAACACAATGAACCATAGGGATATAATGGAATGAAATTAATCCAAACATGGGATACATGATAATTTAACCAGACCAAAAAGGGATTTAAACAACAAATATGGGGATATATACAGCAACCAACAAATACTGGGATATACAGTATAACTAACTTGATATCATATTTAGATATGTAACCTCCAATACTTCAACCTAGCAATGGAAAATCACTCATTCACAGATGCTTACCCTATATTTTGCCATTGGGAAAATCCCCGTTCCCATGTGAAGTTTGGAAGGGTACTCACATTTAACGACACTTACATTAGATACTTCAGCGAACTCATCCCCAAATGATGTTGTGAAATATTACGGCATCAAAGCTTAGGGTACCCCCTTTTTCAGAAATGTTCATGTGCTTTTCTTTGCTGTACCATCTGGTTATTTAACATAGCCATGGAAAATCCCTTATAAATGGAGGTTTTAATGGGAAAATCATCTATAAATGGACCATTTTCCATGGCTATGTTAAATAACCAGATGGTAAAACATATGAAACTGAGATGGGTCTGGACATTTTGGGAATGGTGAAAGACCACAAACAATTGGGATACCATCTTTTCAGACAAACCCATTTGTGCAGCCCGTCAAAAGTTGGATTTTTCATACGTATGGGGACTATGGGATACAATAGGGTTTTACTATGGTTTAAAGGGATCATTACTCATTACAATTAAAAAACATGATAAATGGGGTTTTACATTGGTAAAGATGGTTTATTTTACATGGTTTAATGGGTATATAATGGTTTTCATGGGGATTTATATACCCATTATCAGGACTTTTGGCAAAAAAAAGCCACATCCCATGGTTTGAAGCTTCATTTTGAGCTTGTAAACTGCCATGCTTATAAATTGCCAGGGTACCCTCCGGTAATCAAACATGGCAACGGAAAATCCGCCATTGATCGAAAACAAAGCCTCCGATGTCCCATTTCTATGTTGAGGACTCCGGAGGGTATACCCCATTTCCATTTCCAAACCGATTTTGGTTGTGATCAAAGCCCCGTGGTCAAATTCGCAACGAGAATTTGTGAAGAAAATGGCGATCCGATTAACCAATATACTATGAGTGAATATGGATATGTAATATATATATATATTTATAGGGACTATTAAACAAACAAGGTCAAAACACCCGAAATTCCTATGGGAAAAACAAAAACTGCATAACATTTGAAATTCCTATGGGAAAAACAACAAAGGTACTAGGACATTTTAAACTCTCAAATTGTGAAACTTAACATTCAATTAGGAAGATCAACAAAGATATTAGGGAATATTAAACTCCCACCCCCGTTAAACCTTAAATTCCTATGGGGAAAACAACAAAGGTACTAGGGACTATATAAAAAATGACAAAACACCCGAAATTCCTATGGGAAAAACAAAAACGGTATTAGGGAATATTAAACTCCCACCCCCGTTAAACTTTACATTCAATTGGGAAGATCAAAGATATTAGGGAATATTAAACTCCCACCCACGTGAAACTTCTACATTCATTGAAGATCTTCAATAAGGGTTTAATTCTCCCACCCTGTTAAACTTCTACATTCATTGAAGATCTTCGATGAGGGTTTAATTCTCCCACCCCCGTTAAACTTCTACATTCATTGAAGATCTCCAATAAGGGTTTAATTCTCCCACCCCCGTTAAACTTCTACATTCATTGAAGATCTTCAATAAGGGTTTAATTCTCCCACCCCCGTTAAACTTCTACATTCATTGAAGATCTTCGATAAGGGTTTAATTCTCCCACCCCCGTTAAACTTCTACATTCATTGAAGATCTTCAATAAGGGTTTAATTCTCCCACCCTCGTTAAACTTCTACATTCATTGAAGATCTTCGATGAGGGTTTAATTCTCCCACCCCCGTTAAACTTCTACATTCATTGAAGATCTCCAATAAGGGTTTAATTCTCCCACCCCCGTTACACTTCTACATTCATTGAAGATCGTCAATAAGGGTTTGATGATGATGATGATGATGATGATGATGATGCGTCGGCCGTCGTCATTGCGGGTCCGGGCAAAACCCAGGCATTTGCCGTATTTATACATACATATAAGCACATACTGAGCAGGTAAAAGCAAAATGCAATTTATCTAGTTATCTAAGCTATATTCCTTGCTGCCGCTCCGGCCTTAGGACATGAAGCTGATTCCGCCTGAACACAGTTGTGGCGATGCCGTGGTTGACCCATGTGGATCTCACTGGCTAAGTTGATCACCATACAAGGTGGGCTTCCCTAGATAGCTAAGTTGATGTATGAATAGGTTAATAATGCTTTATTCATGGATGTTTATGGTAGATATGTCGAACTAGTTACAGTAAGGGGGGTTAGAAAAACGAACTTTTGGCCCTGGTGGGCCATCTTGTATAGATCATGGTTCATTGGATTGTCTGAAAATGGGCTCCACGACATTTCGGGGCCACTTTTTTTTTTTTCAGACAAAGCCAATTGGACATCCTAGCCCTGAAAAAAATGCGATATTTTGTTATGATTCGATCAACTCCCTAAACTGGGCTTATTGTTGATATTGGAATTATATATATATATATAAATATCTATAATATATATATATATTATAATATATATATATCATATACATATATATGTATTATAATATATATAAATATTATAATATATATATATATTATAATACATATATATATATGATATATATATATATATTGTATATATATATTTTTTATCTATATATATATATTATATTATATATTATATATTATATTATATTATACACCTTTTTTTTTGCCCTGATAAAAGGATCCACACAATGGCTGATCCTTTGAGGATGGGGCGATACCATTTTCGTACCATTTTTTTTGGGGGATGAACATCCACCAAGCACCAGGGTACCCATAGGGGTTTACCCATTGAAAATGGTGATTTTCCATGGGATTTTAATGGGATTTAGCCATTGAAAATGGTGATTTTCCATGGGATTTTAATGGGATTTTTATGGTGATTTTAATGGGATTAATGGGACATACCCTCTGGTAAACATACAAAAAGCTATTGAACATGGCCATAGAAATAGTGAGTTTTCCCATGAAAAATGGTGATTTTCCATAGTCATGTTAGTTTACCAGAGGGTACTAGACTAGACTATGAGTGGATTAAGAAAATATTGCCAACTCAGCCAATGTTGGACCACAGCATGATCCTGTAAGATAGACTCGCGGCACGCGGAATCCGGAAGGCTTTTCCTGAACTTTTACAGGAGTTGGCCAGGGATTCAAAGGTCATCGAAAAACGCAAGAACAAACATGGGTATGGGTCAATACCTATTAATACCATTTTTAGGGGAATGAACATCCATTTACCAGCTATTTTGATGTTCACCAGGGGTACAAGGTTTTGACCCATCCCCACATGCCATTCAAAGGTCCATGTCTTCAATTGTTGGCAGCCTGGTGGTTTCAATTGTTTCACTGCTGCTATTGCCCTGAGATGATGAACACCGGTGAATTCCCCTTGTTTTGCGTGGGTTGAACACCTTCAGCCAGCCATGGTCATTTCTGGATTCCGGCAATTTTCGTGTTTCATTTTAAAGCTTAGCCCACATGCTAACGCATGGGAATCATCTTCAAGCAGCAAAGAAAGAAGCGCGACCCTTTTGGGATGCGATGGTGGGTTTTGTAGCCCATTGTATATTAATAGTCCCATGGAGTGTTCCTCCAACTTTCCTATTCTTCATGGTCTTCATGATTTATCCTCACATTTGCTGATGAAATACCAAGATTTCTTGGTTGTGTAGCCATTTTTGATGGTCAAACCACAGGGCAGCCAGTTTTTTTGTTGCGTCCGACCTGAGATTTACCATGCCGTTCGTAACGTTTGACGACCCTCAAACGTACAGATACGAATGCATATACATCCTTTATCCTTTACTCTTTAAATTTGCACAATTATACACATACACTTCTATACACTTATACAGGTATTCATACATATATACACATATAGATCTACATAGTATATAATTATATAGTTTTTATATACCCTCTGGTTATTTGTTACATAGCCATGGAAAGATCCACCCATTTTTAAGAACGGTAAACCATCTATTTCGATTAGGGCCATCGAAAAACCATGGCGATGTAACAGTCATAACCAGAGGGTAATATTCCTACACATATAAACTCATCATCAGTGAAGAATCCAGACCTACTTGAATGGATCTTCGCCATGTCCACAAGTCCTTCCGCATCTCTACTTGGGGTGCGGTTGGGATCATTATTGGCTATACCCATGGTAAAAACTTCCATGAGTGGGATATACCCCTATAGCTGGGGTCATATAGCCACTTATCAGTGGAACTACACGCTGAATCCGAGTTTGGAAGATGATTCTGCTCTTCAATGGGCCGTTTGTTTCGGGGTGTTTCTGTCCATATCAATGTTGAAGGGGTATGAAGAAGGTCTAGAAAAGCTATAGGGAAAACCCGTTTGGAAAATGATCTACATTCAGGGTGGGTTTTCTACATCTGTATTTTTTACAGGAGGGTATCACGACTGTATCCTCCTACCAGGAAAGCGAAGGTCGCTCAGCCGTTGTGTTGGCTTCAACAGTATAGCTGGAACAGTGCTCCATGAAGGCCAAATGGATGGCTGGTTGGCGGTTTGGAACATTTGGATTATTTTTCCATTTCATACATGGGATGTCATCCTTCTCAACTGACGAACTCCATCAAGGGTTATTGCACCACCCACCAACCAGATGCAAAAATGCCAGCCATTCCAAGCCATTTCTGGCCCTGCAATGGCCCATGGTTCAACTCCCCCAACTCCCACGAGCAGGTTTCCTGGGTACATGGGATGAAATGGCAAAATCATCCAAAAAAAGCCTAAACCCCAAATGAATGCAAGTGAATGCAAATGAATGCAAATGATTCAACAAAAAAACTGACTTGGTGCTTAGGTAGTCTAAGGAGCTTTCTGCGAAAAGATCGAAAAAGAACTTTACCTTCACCTTTGCGCATAGCATGGCGCGCGCTGTGCTGGGGCTTGCGCTTGGGATTGCCCTGGTGCTGTGGCAGGTGCGTTCACTGGTGCTGTGGTTATGTGCGTTCCGATCGGATTTCAGTTCCCAACCCAGGGTTTCTGATTAAACCACGTTTAAATCCACCATTTCTGCTCGGTTCCTGTTCCCACCTTCAATTTTTGCCAGCTATATATTCCGATGTTTTTTATCCGTACACAAACATCGCAACCATCATGACGGCGTCATGAGGGTGATAACCACACAACTTGGAAGCGCTGCAGTAACCCACAAGAAAAACGATTCAACCAATATCTCAAAGGGTCATTGCACCCCGTAAATAATTGAAGATGGAACGCGCAACATGGCGTCCTCCACATTTTTTTACTGCTGGAAAATCCGTTTTTTCTCGTTGAGTTCATGTTTTTGTTGCTTAAATTACCATTACATCCATTATTGCTAGTTACATCCCATTATATCCCCAATATATCGCATAAATACCGTATTGTTGCTTGAACCCCCATAAACTGGTTGGTAGTATCCCATAGCAAATCCACCATTCTATCTCCATGATATCCCCATTTAATAAGTGTATATAGAATGTACACATATTTCCATTTTAATGTTCACATAATTCCATTAATTCCCATTATATAAACAATTATTTTTGTGAGTTATACCCCCAAAAATAGTTAGCTGCTGGTTGGTGGTTTCAAACATCTTTTTATGTTCCATTTCATATATGGGATGTCATCCTTCCCATTGACGAACTCCATCATTTTTCAAGATGGTTATTGCACCATCAATAGTTAGCGAAATAAATGGGATAATATCACTTTTTCTTACATGTAACTATCATGATTAATATCAGGTAGTTAGCTACTATTTCACTTAGCTACATATCATCATTGATACATGGGATTTTTTTTTTACCACCTGAACTCCCTTGCCAGGTGAGACTTCAGCTGTCCTTCCTTCCGACAAGGCGAAGGGGGTCCCGGTGGAGCCTCCATTTTTTTGTGGTTTTTCATAGCCATTGATGAAACCACTATGAAGTAGTGATTACCCTCTGGTAAACTAACATAACTATGGAAAATCACCATGTTTAATGGGAAAATCCACTATTTCAATGGCCATTTTCAATAGCTATTTTGACAAATTACCAGAGGGTAAGTAGATTAAGTAGTGGTTAATAGCCATTTAGATGGTTTTCATGTCCATGTAGCAGTTTTAAGATCCATTTAATATCGCAATGTCCATTGATGATTGTTAATAGTAATAGCAGTATCCTTGTAATATCCATTTAATATTTAGTGTAAACTGTAAACCATTGATATCCATTTAACAAGCATTTATAATGTCCATTTTTAAATACCCATCTAGAAAGTAGTGTCCAATCCTTTTGCAACCCATAGAAGACTGGGACTACCTGGGGATATTCCATGTGAATATTCACATATACTATATAATTATTCATAATATGCGCATAATATATATATATATATATGTATATGTATGTATGTATGTATGTATGTATATATATACATATTATGTCTCTGGGTGAATTATAGCGACTTCACTGCGACGTCGCTGGAATGATGGTGAATCTGGTGAATGTTTTTGGGGAATCATCCTCAGCCGCAAGTTTCAGGCTAGTGACATATTCTAATTTTCCCAGATTAATGCTTGTTACCCTCTGGTAAACTAACATAACTATTGAACATCACCATTTTTAATGGGTAAATCCACTATTTCTATGGCCATTTTCAATAGCTTTTTGTTAGTCATAACCAGGGGGTAATACCCATTTGGTAGCTTTTTGGGGAAGGGATTAATTGGGACGGGCAGTTCACACCCTTCTTCTTGGGAGTTAACCAACATGTCGGACGGAATCATCAAACAATTGGGATCATAGGCATCGATCTTGTGGCTAGTAACCATATCATACCCCAGTCATGTATACATATAATTCCCAGTCAAGCACCATTTTTCGGAATATTGCACTACATAACCCACCGCAAAAATTGGAACTTATTCAACAAACTAAGGGGGATATAGGCATCAATAAAGAATTTGGTGATTTTCTTGGGGATGTGGAGCAACTGGGCCAAAACAATTGGATATTTCGGAACAGCAATTAGTTGAGGCCCCGAAACCCTCAACTGCTAACATTTTTTCCTCCAAAATGGGTAAGTGAGCATCAGCACATAGTCTATTCATGTCTATTCTATTCATTTT